GAAACTGAATTAATAAAACTGAAAAAGAGGTTCTGAAAATGCCAAGTATTTTGGTCTTTCGGATTATGCTAAACGGAAAAAAATAGGGGTGGCCTTAGGTAAGAGCAAAAAAAGTCCTCCTAAGCTACGTTGTTTCCACGAAATAATGGATTTTGTGTTCTAATATGCGAAGTGCCCATTCTGTTCTTTTTATTTTCATTTTCCAAACGAACGGTCGGTCGGGCGATGTATTGATTACTATTGCATTGACTAATATTTTTATAATAATTTAGTATCAGCTTTGGAATATCTTTTCCTAGTTTAATACCCTCCAACTCTTCGTCACTTTTCGCAGCTTGGATACCATGGTTTAAAACAGTCGTCGCGCCGCATTGTCGCAGCTTCTCATGATTGACCCATAATCGTGTTGATTAAAAAAATAAAGGAATAAATAAAAGCTTGCCAGAATCTGTATTCCCTGTCTTAGCATTTGCAAACTCAAAATACCACCTCTGTGGATTAAATGCGTTCCGCCTTGTTTGCCCTACTCCATGTGATTTAGAAAAAAGAAAAGAAATACACCGTATTCACAAATGGCGGACACGCGGGAAAAAACTGGTGCCTAGTCATGAAAGCGAGGCGTTGGAGAGTAAACAAAAATTGCAAATGAAGACTTTCAGTGAACTTGCAGAGTGTTTAGCACGGATTCCACCTAAAATAACTTTGTACGGAGATCTTTTTTAAATACAATTACGTGGGATGTCTTCTGCTTTTAATATTTAGTATTGATTTGCTGTTTGCAATCAAAAGGGACGCGTATATCTTCAAGGAAACAGGATGATTTTGTAGGTTTCCGAAGCATCAGAAGCTCGACAAGTCGGCGATGGCTGGAGAAAAGCGGCAAACATGTTGGCCTAAACTTCACATTGAAACCGAGTTCGAAAGCCAGCTCACTGCAATTCGGTAAAACAAAAATATAAACAATGCAAATCTTGGTGGCAAGAAAAAAAGAAATAAGCGATGGATATATGGCCTACTTGTTAACGCAAGAGACGTGTGCCATTGAACAAAACAGTTCAAATCGAGATGGAAAAAAGGAAGACAGGAAAGAAGCGGTGACTGAGGTTTCGATGAAGTTATGTTTGGTTTTTGTTTGCCAGGACGTTATTCTCTGGTTTTTATCGATGACGGACATCAATTAGAACTATCTTTTTGGTATAAATGCAAGGAGCGATCGAGTGGAGTACTCGGTAAGCCGGCCACATTTCATTTCAGCGAGTAATTTTCCTATTTCTTATCTTTGGCTGTTAAGAGTTTTAACTTCATGTTCCATGATATTTTAAAAGTGAAGAATACATAAATAAATAAAATGATGGTCTTCTTAAACGGATCTAGACTCGCAGTTAATGATTCGAAACAGAAGCTTGCCGTGTTCAGTCCTGACACAAACATTGCCTTAAAAGTTTAACCTAGTAAAATGTGAACTTTATACCACTTTTTTACCAAGAGCTCTCCGAGATAATGCCGTAAAGGAGACCAGGCAAATAGCAAGTCATAAGATTCACATACTAGAGCTTCTAGTTTTGATAAAATTATTTTATTTCGCAATGACAAAGAAATCAAAAGATTTTAAATTTGCACTGAATTTGCTAAGCTCTGCCAACGTACCTCTAACAATTCACTCCAAAGCGACGGAATTACTATCATCCAAAGGAAGTTCTAAATACAGACATACATAGATATGTGTAAAATGACACTGACATGAATGAATGAGTCTCGTGAATGAATCTTTCTCCCGCTCTCGACTTGACCTGTTTTGAGTAATGGCGGAGGTCTCTTCCGTTGACAAGTAGGCCATATATCCGTCGCGTATTTCTTTTTTTCTTGCCACCAATATCTGTTTTTACTTTTGTTTTACAGAATTGCAGTGAGCTGGCTTTCGTATTCGGTTTCAGCGTGAAGTTTGGGCCAACATGTTTGCCGCTTTTCTCCAGCCATCACCCACTTGTCGAGCTTCTGAGGCTTCGGCAACCTACAAAATCATCCTGTTTCCCTGAAGATATACGCGTCCCTTTTGATTGCAAACAGCAAATCAGTACTAAACATTAAAAGCAGAAGACGTCCCAGGTCATTGTATTTAAAAAGACGTCCATACAAAGTTATTTTAGGTGGAATCCGTGCTAAACACTCTGCAAGTTCACTGAAAGTCTTCATTTGCAATTTTTGTTTACCCTCCAACGCCTCGCTTTCATGACTAGGCACCAGTTTTTTCCCGCGTGTCCGCCATTTGTGAATACGGTGTATAGTTAAAGAAAACCTGGTACATGAGAAATGTTCTACAGAAATGCCAGTCGGCACTGTTTTTGAATTCAAACAAGAGATAATTCAAGTTGACTTCTGCTAAACTGTCAAAAGAGAATAATTTAATTAAATATACAGAGGAGCATGTGATTATACAGACGGTCTGTTCCCGCATTCGAGGTCCTCTTTCCTTACCCTAGGTGCCAGAGGCTTTTGATGCGCAGTTTCCGGTTTCGTCGACACGTCTTCGGCCTTCGGTCTTCGGCCGACGAGCTCATCGTCGTAGGCAAGAAAAAACTCTGCGGCGACGACTCCGAAAACGTCACTGAAAAAGTGAAGTCGCGCGGTCTCAAACTTAATCGCGCTTATTCCATCTCGTTTGATTCGTCAATGGTGGGCAAATTTTTTTGGAGTTCAATTCTAAAGGACTGTATCAAAGGGCCGGAAAAGATAAGGAAACTTGTTCTCTTGTGTTCCCGTCCTCGACAAATCGTGAAATTAGGCACTTACATGTTTGTAGTCGTGCAACGACGGCTAAGAAATGTTCAAAAACGCGTGGTGCACGTGCAAAGTTGTTATTTGCCAAAAAAACTTATTGCTTTTTTGCTGTTCTCGTTGCCGTCGCCGTCGCCGTTGTCGATGCTTAAGGTCCCTATTTTGCCGTAGGGAGGCTGGGAGGAGGGTAAAAAGATGTGAAAGGCAACCAGAGGAAGGGAGGCCTCTGTCGTGTGACCTGCTCTTGTCTTCCGCTTTTTGCCTCTTCCCATCGTCCACCGCGCACTTGCTATTTTTTGATGCTGTTTTTTATACCCAGCGGAGGAGAGAGGCTGACTCGTTCCCAGTCGTCTTTTATTATTTGTGAGCGGCCAAGGAACGGTCGCGGAAGTCTATTACGGCATCTGGTGCAAAGGGGAGGATGGATCGCGCTTCCCTTGACCGCGCTTCTCTCGTTATAAATACTAACAGGAGACTGAGAGACGACTGGAAAGTGGGGACGAGTCAGGGAGGGAGGTCTAGCTCGAGAGGCGACATATGATCGTGAGGTCCCCGTCTAGGGGTGGGTGAGCGGTGAAGGGAGGGATTTTTTTATCCTTTTTTCCCTAACCTCGTTTTATAAGCTCGTCTTTTGCGCTTCGCGGTGCACGGAATACCAAAGGAAATGTTCAATTTCGGAGCGCCAGGCCAAAGACCATCAGTTACTTGAGTCTCTGTTTAGCCCCGAGTTTAGCCTGAATTTCAGCCGTCTCCTCGAGTCGCATTCTCGTCTTTCTGGGGAGTATGCGACTCGAGGAGACGGCTGAAATTCAGGCTACTTCGAGTTCTGCTTTCCAAGCCAGTTTCCCTTTCAAGGTGACAGACGTTTATCGCTTTAGACAAGAGATATTTAACTGGGGTAACGTACGATTCTTTTTGCTACAGGTTGGTCTTGCCTTCACTCGTTGGTGAACATTATTTTGGCGTACTTATTGCTTCAACTTGGTGGTCCACAAGCCTTGACTGTCATTCTGATGTTTGTGTTGAATGTGGTAAGTACAGTATTAAACTCCGCAACAAGAAGAACGCCAATAACACGACTAAATTCAATGAACTAAATCAAAACTAAAACAACTAAATCGATTAAATTCAACGAATCACGCAAAAATACCGTAAGACGCTGGCCGGCTAAATGTACGGCTAGCCCTCTGCATCCGCTCATCGGCAATTCTCAGGTCCATCCACTGGTAAACAAAAAAATCATTCCTGTGATAAGTCCCTAGAACCCCCCGCTTGTAACTAATTAGCTGCCAGGTTATGTGTACATGTAAACAACGTACATATCTTGTTTCGTATTTTCCCGTTTACATTTACTGCAGAACTAAGGTTTTGAGTTTTTCTAGTAGATCAGCGAATTAAAGTACATTCATTAGCACCTTGTTTTGCAACACGCTTCTGTTCAACTGTAGTTTGTAATAGCGTGGTTATATTCCTTTTTCGCCTTAGTTTCGTCTTGAAGTTACTACATAATGTACAGGTTGGCTCAAATAATCGCAGGGACCTTTTATTCATGAATAAGGCCATTTTCCCCTTTTTTACCTGTAGCGTCTAACGCGTTACTTTGCTGATTTTGGATCGGTCGGTCGGTCGGATGAAAAAAAAGTAAATGAAGAAGAAAGAAATGAAGAAGTCTGGGAATAGGTCACAAAATATTAATTAATATGGGGGAAAATGTGATGATCTATGTCATAGTATAAGAAACATGGCAAAAAGGACACGCCACCAAAACGTCTATGTTCAATGCTCATTTTTCAAATTAAAAGAATAAAAGAGAGTGAAAGAGGTCTAACTACGTCGTTACTTTTACTATCATTTTTTGAAAAAGCCAAAAATTTAGGTTGATCGGACGACGCTTAATGGAGAAAAATGGCCGAACCGGCGTATAGAACTAGAAAAATATAGAATTAAAAGAAGAAAACCTGTTTCTCCTTAGGGTTATCTGATCACTGGATATGCATTCAAGTCATATTCACAAGATTATTCAGTTTCCTGGACAACAGCTCACTGTGTACTTTGCCTGCGCCTCACTGGTAAGATATAAAGAACCTTTCAGTTTTAGGAACTAGCCGGGGTTTTTGCCTGGGTAGCATTTTCTTCCATCCCGTATTAATAGAGGCCTTTAGATTCTAAGACGAGAACGACTATGAGAACGAGATTTTCGCGCGTGAACCAGCATCATTTTGGCGAGAAAAACGTGATAGTGGTTGTCTTTCTACTACAAGTCTTAGCGGGAATAGAGCTTTAGATTTGAGGACTAGAACGGGTATGTGTACGAGATTTTGCGCGTGTTCTAAAAAAAAAAGACACCCTGGAAAGCTTCATTTATTTATACTGAAGGACCCGATAGCGAAATCAAACAACTTTTTACATTTGATAACTTTTTCCTGCCACCACGACATTCTCGCTAAACCTGGTGGTAGAGTGACAACGGCTATCACATTTTCCCGCCAAAATGACCCTGGTTCACGCGTGCGCAATACGCAGTAGAATCTAAAGCTCTCTAATGTCGTAGTTGCGGAACTCGAGTTATCAAATGTTAGAAGTTTTATTATTTTGCGATCGGGAGAGGGCTTAACCTCCTTTAATAAACAGGGGCGGATCTAGGGGGAGGGTGCAGGGGGTGCGCAGCCCCCCTGAGATGACCTGCGGTTTTCTAATACAACTGGTATTCTGCCAAAAAAAAAAAAAACTATGTGGTTTATTGGTGTTGAAGTAGAGCAAGAGACGAGTGCACCCCCTCCTAAAAAATATCCTAGATCCGCCCTTGATAAAGATAACAGTGCTAACGTTTCTGGTGGATCAAAAGTACGATGAAGCTTTGCGGGGTATCTATTTTCTCTTCCTCGAATCTGAAGCTCTCTAATAATGCGCGAGACGCGAAAAAGCATGCCCACGCTTTCTTGTGCGTCTCGCGTTTTTAGAAGGAAGTGACCGCTACAAGGACCAGCAGGTGATTGTGGCTGTAGTTTGCCCAGGGATCGACGGTGAATGCTCTGAATCTGATGTACCTAAACTTTGAACAGTAACTGATATTTGATGAATGTAGAAGCACATATGATACAGTCCATGAGGCTGTCAGTCTGTGAGTCCCCATTCCTGGTATATTTATTGTTGAAATGCACTTTAAGACTAACTGAAGCCGCGGTTTGCAAAATAATAACAGATCTCTGGCTCCTTCAATCTAATTAGTGGGTTACTTTATGAAGATATGTTTCCCTATATTTTAGTATACACTATATGCTTTAATGTTACTGTTCACGTTAAATGGTGTTTAGTGTTGGGCAAACTGCAAATGACGCGGTTTTGTTAAACACCTACTAAATGTCGTTAAAATAACCGCCCCTTAATGCTCTATTAAAAGTGTATTATGTCAAAATATGGCCTTGGCATATTGCGAAAACAATGTTTATTATTGTATGATTATTGAATATTAAGAAGCGGTAATGCATCTACCTACAGCTGTATCGTTAAGTAATGCAAATTAACCATAATCGGAAGGAGTAAAATTAAGGCCAACGTACACGAGATTTTTAAACTGGATTTTCAAAATTTACTTAAACGATTCTCATTACTATATATATCTGTGTGTTATCTGTAATCTTAATCTCAATTCAAGCTCAAATCCTGTTTGATTTGGTTATTAAACGGAACTTTCGTAATGTGCTTAAACGGTTTTCTCAATTATTTAGTACATATCTGTGTGTTATCTGTCATCTTAGTACTCTCAATTATTCAACTTCATATCTCGTCTAAGGCCTCGATATTGTTTTCATTTTATTAAACTGAATTTTCGCAATTTGCGTCAACGATTGTTCATTAGTACATATCTGTATGTTATCTCTGAGTTTTAAGCGCTGTTAATTCAAGTTCATATTTTGTCTGAGACCGCGATATTGTTTTCATTTTATTTTTAAACGATTGCTCATTAGTACGTATCTGTATGTTATCTGTGTAATTTTAAGTGCTCTCAATTCAAGTTCATGTCTTGTCTGAGACCGCGATATTGTTTTCATTTTATTAAAATGAATTTTCGCAATTTGCTTACTATAACGATGTCTCATTTGCGCATATCTGTAGATAATCTCTGTGATTTTAAGTACTCTCAATTCAAGTTCATATCTTGTCCGACACCTCGATATTGTTTTCATTTTATTAAACTGAATTTTCTCGATTTACTTATAAACGATTTCTCATCTGTACATATCTTCATGATATCTGTAATTTTAAGTACTCTCAATTCAAGTTCATGTCTTGTCTGAGGCCTCGATATTGTTTTCGTTTATTAAACTGAATTTTCGCAATTTGCGTAAACGATTTCTCATTAGTACGTATCTGTATGTTATTTCTGTGCTTTTAAGTACTCTCAATTCAAGTTCATATTTTGTCTGAGGGTTCGATATTGTTTTCATTTTATTTAACTGAATTTTCGCAATTTGCTTATACGATTTCTCATTAGTACATATCTGTATGTTATCTCTGTGCTTTTAAGTACTCTCAATTCAAGTTCATATCTTGTTTGAGGCCTCGATATTGTTTCCTGGCAGTGAGTAATAAGCCATGAGCATAACATTAGGGGAAAATAAACGTTTTCAAACAAACGTGATAATTGCACGAAAGGGCACCCCAGGGTAATAAAAAATTGTTTGATGTCCTTCTTCAGTCCCTTAAAAACATGGTATGCTTTGTCGTCCATACAAACGTCGTTCTCTCTGATACAAAAATTACATTTACAAGAGAAAACCAGTTTGTTCCGGAAAGGATATCTTAAAACATATATAGTACAAAGTTAAGCAAGATATGTCCACCTATAGGGATGAGATCATGCATCCAACCGACCTGTCTTATTTCTATTACTTCTAAAAATACCAAAATTTACGCGAGGAATTCTAAGAGTCTGTTCAAATGTTACTCAAGATCGTGCTTTCGTAAATTGAATGACAAAGGGGAGGGGCTAACAAAGGATTTTAACATATTTCACATTGACAAAAACTGCAGCAAATTAATTTCTCATAAGACAAGCCAAAAAAAGTTCCCTCGAACGATACTCTACTCCCGCTTTTCAGAAGAGTAATTTGTGAATTATTCGAAAAAGGTGGATAGATAATAAAGGATTTGGTAATTTTCTGCCAGTACTCGAGGTTAAACAAGACAAGCAGTGAAATTTAATTAGAGTATTTTCTACGAACGTTAAAGGCGTTCACAGGTACAAAATCATCTAATCCATTCTTAGAACCGGAAAATATACATTATACAGTTTTCAATTTAACTTCATTGCAGTTAGGCTGATTTGAAGGAAATATGAGGACTGTTCAAGTTCGCCTGGATTGTTTTGAAGACCAAGAACCAAAAAAAAATGTCTTTCTGAAAAGTATTTTGTAAAATTATCTCTTGAAATTCCCAAAGTTCATAAAGATTATATGGTTTTATGCAGATTGGGTTCAGTATTTTCTGAAGATCTTACTTTAGAAAATTGTTGATCAAGATCTCCCTTTAGAAACTGCTAAGTAACAATGCTAATGAATACGGAGATACAAAAATACCATTTTAATGCCGGATAACTGTCTTTTTCTCTTTATGAAGTAAATTTCGAAGGAAACAAGGGATTAATTAGTCCATCAGCCCCGAGCGAGACGTCAGGGCAAGTTATCTACGGCCATGTATACGACGCGTTTAGTATCAGGAAGTAGTTTTTATTGAGGAAAATCTCTTTGACAATTTCCAAAGTATTTTATGCAAAGATTTCACTTTATCAGTTCTTTAGCCGGCACTAATCCAAAGGAAGTGATGAGGGGGAAATGCATTTTCATGAAAAAGTCATGAAAGACAAACGTTTGCTTTAAAAACAGCAAATACCTAGAAGCACGACACCGTGTAAAAGACAACATCGCAACTTATCACAAGTTAAAAGCTTAGTAGGATATGAATTCAAGCGGGTCTGTTGAAAACTTGGCTGCTCGCCCCGAATGTAGGTTCACCGTCCTTAACCACATCGATGGTGACTCGCGACACTTATCAACCTTAAGTTATGCCGCTGTTTTCTCCACAGTTGTCTTCAACTCTGTTGTCTGTCCTTTTACGATCTTACTCAACATTCTGTCGATAGTTGTTGTGACAACCAAGCCGCTCTTGAAGACCAAGTCTAACTGTCAACTGGCCTGTTTGGCAGTCACGGATGTTTTGGTCGGTTTAACCGTCCAGCCTTCTTACATCACAAGCGCTATATTATTGCTTCAAGGGAATACCACGTCAAGCGAATTCTGCTGGATTCTAGCAGCGACAGAAACTCTCGGTCGTATTTTATGCAGGGCATCCATCATTCACCTAGTTTTGTTGAGTTTAGAACGGTACATAGCTATAATACACCCGTATGTTCACCACACCGAAGTAACACGTTCCCGAATTGTTGCTTTGTCTGTTACTGCGTGGATTGTGAATTTCCTTCTACACGTTCCAGAATTTTTTGACCCCAGGCTTGCTCTCCGGATAGTCAATTCTCTCCTTCTTGTTTACGTTGTTATGATCATATTCTGCCAAGTTTCAGTCTGCCGCGAAATTCGCCGCCATGAAAAACTAATTGCTGCTCAGCAAGTTTCAGGGGAAGCCAAAGAAAGGTTTTTGAAAGACCAGAAAGCCACAAAAATAACCACTGCCATAGTCATTGCAGCGGTGATTTCTTACTTGCCAATGTTCATCTTTCGTGCATTTTTGTTAAAATTCGGCAAGCATATTTCTTTAAACGTAGCTTACCCTTGTCATTTGTTTAACTTCACTTTGGTAATAGTTAACTCATTTGTTAATTCCCTTATTTATGCTGTCAGAGTCCGAACTTTCAGAGTTGCTTTTATCGAGGTTTTGTTTAAAAGAAACAGCCATCAAGCCGAACAGATCGAAATGAAACTTTTTTCAAAGGGCGTGGCTGATGCAAATACAGTGGCTGCAGCAGCTGCGGGACGAACAGCACAAGAATTGCCGACAACCGGAGTAGCACCGGTGTTAATGGTGGACAGAACAGCATCTTCAACAACGCTACAAGCAATGGAAAGGACCGCAGCGACAACATCAACGGTTCCTGCAAAATCATCAGCTGTAGTAGCAGCAGAAAGGATGTTATCGCCAACAACAAAGCCAGCAGCAGAAAGACCAGCGTCGCCAACAACAGCAGTAGCAGCAGAGAAGACAGCATCGCCAACAACAGCTGAATTAGAAAGGGCAGCATCACCAACAACAGTAGCAGCAGGAGCAGAGAGGGCAGCGTTGATAGCAACAGCAGCAGTAGCAGCAGCAGCAGGAGAAAGGGCAGCCTCGCCGACAGTGGTAACAGTAGAGACAGTACCGTCATCAACAGTATCAGAAGCAGAAAGGACAGCACCGCCAACAACAACAGCAGAAGCAGAAACTGAAAGGACAGCATCGCCAAAAGCGGAAGGGGCAGCATCAACAGCAGCAGCACCAGAAGCTGACAAGCCAGCTTCGCCAACAAAGGCAGCAATAGCAGAAGGGGCAGCTTCTCCGACAGCAGCAGCAATAGAAGAAGGGGTAGCATCGCCAAAATCAGCGGCAGCAGAAGCAGAAAGGGCAGCAGCAACAACAACAGCAGCAGTAAGGGCAGCATTATTAACAATAACAGCAGTAGCAGCAGAAGGGGCAGCATCACCACCAACAGCAGCAAAAGCAGAAGGGGTAGCACCGCCAACAACGGCAGCAAAAGCAGAAGGTGCAGCATCACCAACAACGGCAGCAGCAGCAGCAGGAGGGGCTGCCTCACCAGAAACAGCAACAGAAGAAATGACAGCTGATCGCCAACAGCAACAAAAATCATCGGCGCCAACAACAATAGCAGTAGTAGCAGCAGAACCGTCAGCATCGCCAACCCAACAGCAATGGCAGAAACAGAGAGAAAAGGATAGACAACAGCAGCAGAAGGACATGCCGCCAGCATCAACAGCATGATTACGCTTATCATAGACCGTAAAATTCCGAAAATAACCCCCTCCATGTATAAGCCCCTCCAAATATAAGCCCCCCAAACCGGTAACACAAAAAACCCTCCGTTAAATCGCCCCTCCAAATATAAGCCTCCCGGGGGCTTATACTTGAAAAATTGCCCCCAAATACAAAGTAAAACAAAGCAAAAACAGTAAATTTACTTCCAACTATAAGGCTAGCCCTATCGATTTTGAAACGCAAACTTCCCTCCGTAGATAAGCCCCTCCGAATATTAGCCCCTCCAAAAATAAGCCCCTCAAAGAGGGCCTTTGAAAAATATAAGCCCCGGGACATATTTTCGGAATTGTACGGTAACTTACTGGGACCCCTCAATGTCAGGGTTATTCGTAATTGGTGATCGCGATAATTACAGTTTTGTGTAAATACCTTAAATATTGCAATCAAAAGCGTCGTGTTCTGAGGCAGTATTACTTAAACAAATGAATAAACTAATGGTAAAAACGTATAGAAAACTAAGTGTGATTTTTTCGCTGACTGACGCGGGCTATAACGCTCTTAAAATTCTCAACGTGAAGATTGTGGTCTCCTGGTTATTTTTAAACGGATGCAATACCATAAACAAGCTTCTTAACCCTTTCACTGCCAAATGTAGCCAAAGGCAAATTTCGACCAGGTTTCCAAATTTCATTTTCTCAAATTTTGAAAAACAAATAGTACCATGTGAAAGTACAGGCAGAGAGGTTTCATTTGAACGGTCACATCATAGGATTTCGTCCACAAACTCAAACGTTAGAGGCACCTTACAAACCTCCATCAAGTACTCTGGCAGTGAAAGGGTTAAAGATAGTTTGAAATTATTTTTTCCTGGGCAAAGTTTTCACTTGAGGTGATTTAAGGATCATTCAAAATTTATGGGATGGGAGGGTTGGGCTGTTGGATTTGGAGCGCCCGGTCAGCCATTTTCTGATGTAACTATTAGTGAGGGTGGCAATAAAAATGCTTTTGAAGCCAGGGACTTTGAGGGGGGTGTCTTGCTAGCTTTGTGCACTTCACGTGTTTGTGGGAATGCTTTTTCAGGCACAATGACATCTTGCAGGGTGTAGCCTTTTCTTTCTTGCATTTGCGCTCTCGATTCAATCATCACAATTTTGTCCCTTTTCTCCTTGTATTTTGTTTTCTTTTGTTTTGTTTCTATGAAAGTTGAATGTAGCATGACACAAATAGGACAAATATGTTTTACTGTTAAACAATGTTTTTTTGAGGAGGAGACGACATCTAAGGATGCTTACCATTTACATGGGAAAACCGGAAATCCGGTTACAAAATCAAATGGTTTGCCCCATTCCGTTTTTGGGAAGCTTCAGAAAACATCGGCTGTGATTTAAGGCGATGCCATTATTCTTATCTTTTCAGTCTATTCAGCAGATTCGGATGCACTTTGTAACGGGTCCTTCTCCCATCATGTCGAATTTTATAGCCGGTTTTATGATATGTTTATGCACAAGATCTCCACCCGGGGGCTTTTTGTAAATGGTAAGCACCCACGTATCCACTAGACGTCTGTAGCTTTGAGATTTCATCATAACGCATCTTAGGTTTGAGCTGGCAGCCACCCCCTCCCGTCCTCCCCACAAACGATCCTTTTTCCACCACAAAATCCTAATAGCCCTGCACCTAATGAAATATGTGCGCTTCCTAACAACGTTATTACGCATGCACTATAGCTTGTGCATAGACCACAAGGCTTAACCAACAGTTACTATTTTGTGTGTTAAACAAGGTGCATTATGATCAGTGTGAAAATGGTGAATTTGATCAATTCACAGGTTTAGCGTGGGATTATTATGACGGAAATCAAGACCAGGTAAGGTGGGAAGAAGTAAGACCAGCCGCTACCGGCACTGAGCCTAGTCTGAAATATTGCACGTTTTTTCGCTGTAAACCCTGAGGCGGTTCTCTCTACCTGCGCCCAGGGACTAGGGCGAGAAGATGTACGATGTTTCCAACTTTTACCTAGATCCTCCACCGTCAAAAAGACAGACACCAATTCGTACACGAGATTAATTTCAAAATACTCTGTGGTCTGGTGTAGAAAGCCTGAGAATGAAAAACAAACAAATAAACAAATAGACCAAAAAATAAGACACACTGCACAAGGTTTGCTCTCATGGTCGACGTTCCCGGCATATTTAGTGGTTATGTTCTCTTTGGCCAGAAAGATGGTCTTTTCTCACAGGCAAGCTAGTAGTCTAGTTTCTAGTTTTTGGAGTGCGCGAAATAGGCTGCGTACTGCAGCTGCGTGTGCGAAAGCTGAACACCTCCGTTTTGCTTCGCGTGTTTTTATCTCTTACTTTACGAGCCACAATCGAAAATCATGCCCACAAAAACCCGATTATGCATGTACTCGCCAAAGGATAAAAGAGTTTTAACAAGACCGTGGAGTTGTTAGCCTATGTACAGACGCCCCCCTCCCCTCAGAAAAAATCGGGGAGGTTGGTGTCTGTACACAGGCTACGGCGTTGTGGGAGCAAAAACTTCATCAATTTTCTCTTCGTTAAATTAAACTTTTTAGCGCAAAAGTATTTTTTTTGTTTTTCCTTTGCTGTATGTTTGTGTCTGTTCAAGTCAACGATTTGGATACTTTGATCTTAAATGATTTCGCTGCTGTAACAATCAAATCACGTATTAATTATCGATGTGCCTCCTCTAGGAAAAATTGTCCGAAGATTTCAGAAGAACCGCCATCCGTGATTGCCCCACATTATTACAGGTAGGTTGTTTGACCTAGCTGAGATTACTTGTTGAGGTAAGCATTTCATCTCTTCACCTCTGGATACCTTTTTGCCTGTGCTAAAATAAAAAATGCCTTTTTTTTAATTAGAGGAAGCTTCCACTCACCTACAAAATTGATGCTGAAGGATGCGATGCTTTTTCGTTTTTCTTTTCTACAGATTGCCAGTTACACTTACTTTTTTGGAGGATTTCTTGTTGGTCCCCAGGTACAGGAAACATAATATTATTCATCTTCTCGACATTCCTATCAGGGGCGTACATTTGTATAGATGGTACTATACGGGGGCTTAGCAACGAACGCGGCGAGGGTAACGAGAACGCCAAAACAAACAAACAAACAAACAAAACAAAGAAAATGTTTCGAACAATCTTGGAAAGGTCTTGATATTTAGAAGGTCGTGGAAAGTCCTTGAATTCGGTTAAGGTCCTTGAAAAATACTCGATTTCCTTATTAGGTCTCGAAAAGGCCTTGAAATTCAGTACCTTGTTTACGCCACATCAGTTTCGGTAAAATTAGATTATTTCACTGAGGAAAATTTGGCTCGTCCTCGCTGTAAGACTGTAATACTCACGGCTAACATCAAAGCATTTTTGTGCATAAACAATATTTTATTTCTGTTTCTTAATTTCAAATGCTATTTCTCCACCTCAGATGCAACTGCAAGTCATACCTAGTGACTGTTGCCATTTTGAAAAGTGTTGTTACGGAAAGTAGTATAAAATAATGTGATCAACCATGGCTAAAGAAGTAAAAATCGTAAATAACTCCCTTGAGTGTTTCAGCCAATAAGGGTTTCATAATGGGTAAAAGTGTGCCAATTTGTTGAATAAATCTTAGTCCTGTTTTTTGTCTTTGAAAAGTCCTTAAATTTTGTTTGTCTGAAGTTGTTCGAACCTTGAAAAAGCAATAGGTATAGATCAACATAACAACAACTTTGCGGGGGTCAATTTAACAAAACTTCTACAAGTGTAGCTATTGTTTTGAGACCCCAAAACAATGGCTACACTCGTAAATTACACTTGTAAAGTTTTATTAAATGTACCAAAGGCTTTTTCGTACATTTCTTTGCCGTCTCTGCAGCGCAGGCGTTGAAGTATTCCATTTAATTGTGTTTTTTCCCTTAAGTTTCCTATGAAGAAATACTTGCTGTTGATAGAGGGGAATCTCATCGACAAGAAAGACGACGTGTCTGCTACTCGGTCAGTACGACTTTCTCTTTCTGTTTTTTTATTAGAATTCGGAGAAATCTTTAGATTTAGCAATTGATAACTGCTACTGAAAACTCACCTGTTGCGAGTACAATAGTTCGTAAGCATTGTAAAAAGGTCGCAAATTTCTCGAATGATGGAACCCCATGACCCTAATTGATTTTATTTGTCTATCACTGATGTATAAGGGAAAAGCTAGGATTAGGGTTCGGGTCATGAGTTAGGATTATATCTTGAGCAACGGCCTCGGTTTTTGCTTAAGTAGACGCCGCTTGGACCCTGACGTTCAAGTATTTTCTGCCCTATACTCCTTCTGTCTTAATTGAGAATTGATGATGATAATGATGATAATGTTGATGAGGATGAGGATGAGGTTGATGATGATGATGACGATGATGATGATGAAGATGATAATGATGATAATGATGATGATGATGATAATGATGATGATGATGATGATGATGATGATAATGATGATGACGGCGATAATGATGATGATGATGATGATGATGATGATAATGATGATAATGATTCTGTCTTAATTGAGAATTGATGATGATAATGTTGAGGAGGATGAGGATGAGGCTGATGATGATGATGACGATAATGATTATGATGATGATAATGATGATGATAATAATGATGATGATGATTATGATAATGATGATGATTATGATGATAATGTTGATGAGGATGATGATGAGGTTGATGATGATGATGACGATAGTGATTATGATGATGATAATGATGATGATTATGATAATGATGATGATTATGATGATGATGATAATAATGATGATGATTATGATGACGATAATGGTGATGATGATGTTGATGATGAAGATGATAATGACGATGATAATGATGATGATGATGATGATGATGATGGTAACGTTGATGTCATTTTTTTTGTAGGATTACAGCTGGACTTCGGCGATTCAGTCTTGGATTAATTTATCTCACCATGTATTCTGTGCTCCAGCCAAAAGTGAAAGAAAGCTATCTCGTCACAGATGAATACGATGTAGGTATAACCTTAAAAAGAAAGAATCCATATTTTCCTTTTCAAGAAAACAGGTGGCACATTTTTTATTGACGTTAGGTGTCGGTGAAGGTATCTTACGTAAAGTCGCAAGAACTGAGAGCAGTATTCAACACCTTTAAATACCCGCGTCAGCGTGTTCCCACCACTGCGTAGTGAAAAATTAGTTTTTTATTGTGCTAAAATCCTTATAAAAACGCTGGGATTAGGATGGGAAGCTGTATACATCTGTGTAAACGTAGCTTACGAGCATGCTGTCTTGACTCTCCCGACGTGAGGAAACCTGCTCGTAGTCAGGAGCCTCATAAATGCATTATGATATTTTTTTCTGACTGCGGCAGAATTAGCTCAGTTGGTAGATTGCTTGACTGCTGAGCGGCGGGTCATGTGTTCGATTTCCGGGGCCGGACCTGAATACTCAGTGTTTTAACCTTCACGTGGCTCGGATGAACACTTAAAATGCCGGTCGTAAAAAGTAGTGTCGTCAATTAGAACTTTCGAACTAATTCCATTGACACTCAAATAAAGCGCTTTTCTGGCTCCAACATCGTGTATATATGCCGCTACTCCTGTAGTTTGTAGATAGAAATGAAACCAGCGGGTTTAGCAGAAGTATTGACTTGTTAATTTTAAGATTTTTGTTCTTATCCTTGCGTTTAACTCTTCAGTGGTTCACTGGGTTAAAATTTAGACTTACCATATACCTCCTTCTGCTTTCAGCAAAAGTCGTTCCTTTACAAGCTCTGTTACGCCATTGCCACCACAAAAGTCTTTGTTATGAAGTACCAAGCCGTGTGGCTAATAACTGTAAGTGGTGTGTATAATATTCACTAGTTCACAAAGGCTAGCCTTAGCTCGTCCCTACAAAGAAACTCCGTCCACTATTCGGCCTTCTTTTTTTGCTGTTACTTTTATAGGAAGGGTCTTGCATTATATCAGGACTTGGATATAACGGTCGGTCAGAGGATGGAGGTGACAGATGGGATGGCTGCAGTAATGTCCATCTTCTTCTTTTTGAGACTGCGTACACTTTTCAGGTCGGTAAAACTCTTCAATCCTATGGTAAAGGAATATTTTCTTCTGTAAACAATAATAAATGACGAGAGGGAAACCGGAGTCCGCGCAAAGAAAAAACTTCTAGAAGCAGGGAAGAGTACCAACAACAAACTCAACCTACATCTAGGGCCAAACCAAAGCCACATTTGTAGGAGACGAGTATTCTTATCCCTGCACCGAAAAAAGGCTTGAGACAATCAGTCACGTGAAGAACATGTGGAGTATTGAAGGGCAAAACTGACGATAACATGTTGTTTTATTGAGAGTCAATGGTAGAGGGGGTAAAAACGTCCAATAAATAGTTTGAATAGACAAATCACTTCATTTACTCGTCTTTTCTAAACAGGTAGCATTATATCGCTTTGCAATTATTTTCGTTGTTGTGTATTTTTTGTTTGCAAGGGAAAGGCAGCATCTTTAATTTTGATTGAAGATGTTTTGGAGCATTTGAATAGGTAGTTTGCATTGCAAATTGTGAATGGTTTTGTTTTTTAAATTATGTACATTTTTTTTTTTTATCTCACCAGCATGTTATAGATGCCTTTAACCTCAACACTAATCAGTGGATGTTTAGGTAACTGGTTGAATAGTACATCACGTAGAATCCCCTTAGTTGGGTCATAAGCTGTGTAATTCACAATTTTGGAGCTCGCAAACGGGATTCATAATACTTGGCGAAATATCAAGTGGACCCCATACTTAAAGTACTAGTAATAACCACAGGTCATGGAGTGCGAGCGACAACGATCAAGGTCAAAACGCTTTTACTCCATCGCTGTGCTTTACGTAAGGTTAACGTGACAGATAGTCAAAGCACGCCTGACCAGATTTCGAGTGATAGAAGGTCCAAACACGCGTGATCAAATTGCATTCTGTGCATTCCATTCATTCTTAATGGAAGTCCAAACGAATGCAATTCTCGTCCTCAGAGCCACTCGGCTTTTTTTTGTAACGCCGAACGCTGGGCTCTGGGGACGAGAATGAACGAATGCTGGCTACAAACGTGCGACGAATGAGTAAAAACAACCTGGAAATTAGGATTGCGGGCTCCTCTTGTCGCCCGTAAAAAACATATGTGAGTTCCTTTAGGCCTTGTCAGCAATTAGCGGTCGTTGGTATGTAATAATCCATGTAGGTCTGTAAGTTCTGGGGGCACGGGACTTGAAGGAAGGAAAAAGGAAGGAATTGCCATTATCTCAGCTAATGAAATGCGTTTTTCTCTCAGGTATCTGTACAAAAGACTTCGATTTCTGGGAAATAAGCTCATCTCTCACTTCATAACACTCGCCTTTGTAGCGCTGTGGCATGGCATTGCTCCTGGCTTTTTCCTGTGCTTCATTGGCGAGTTTGTTATTATTGTTATGGAACAACAGGTAGCTGTAAAGATGATGAAAATATATAGATATTTTCATATATTAATCAGAATTTTTTTTTAAATTTTATCTCAGAAGTTTGTGTTTTCTCGTAAGCGTTTACGAGACATTAGAAACTGGTTCATTAACTGGATGTCTGTGAAAAGCTGGGTAGTCTCAATTTCTGAACGCAGTGGTGCCATCACCTGTGGTCGATGTTATATATCAAAATGGTCGCATAACACTAGAATGTGGGAGCTGCTCTTCAAATCTCAAAATAACAATTGAGATACCAGAATTAACTACGCTATAGGCTTCCAAGGATGGCGGCAAGAAATTTAATTAGAACTTTTTTTGACATAATGAAAAGCTTCTTGGATCAGTGGAGTGCTCGCATATGTGGAGAGGAGATGATGACTGGGATGACAGGGATGACCAGAGATGACTGGGATGACTAGAAATAAGTAGGGAAGACTAGGGATGACTAGGATCACTAGGATCACTAGGGATGACTAGGGATGACTAAGGATGACTGGCATGACTAAGGGATGAAGGATGACTAAGGATGATAAGGGATGACTAAGGATGACTAGGGATGACTAAGAATGACAAGGAATGACTGAGATGACTAAGGATGACTACGGATGACTAGGGATGACTGGGATGACTAGGGATGACTAGGGATGGATGGGATGACTAGGAATGACTAGGGATGGATGGGAGACTAGGGATGACTAGGGATGGATGGGATGACTAGGAATGACTTGGGATGACTGGGATGACTAGGGATGAATGGCATGACTAGCAATGACTAGGAATGACTAGGAATGACTGGGATGACTAGGGATTACTATGGATGACTAGGGATGACTGGGATGACTAGGGATGGATGGGATGACTAGGGATGACTAGGGATGGATGGGATGACAAGGGATGACTAGGGATGGATGGGATGGATGGGATGACTAGGAATGACTAGAAATGACTAGGAATGACTGGGTTGACTAGGGATTACTAGGGATAACTAGAGATAAATGGGATGACTAGGAATGACTAGGGATGACAAAAGATCACTGGGATGACTAGGGATGAGTAGGGATGACTAGGATGACTGGGATATTAAGGGATGACTAGGGATGACCAAGGATGACAGGGATGACTGAGATGACCAAGGATAACTAGGGATGACTAGGAATGACTGAGATGACTAGGGATTACTAGGGATAACTAGGGATAAATGGGATGACTAGGGATGACTGGGATGACTAGGGATGGATGGGATAACTAGGGATGACTAGGGATGGATGGGATGACTAAGAAAGACTAGGGATGACTGGGATGACTAGGGATGACTAGGGATGGATGGGATGGATGGGATGACTAGGAATGACTAGGAATGACTGGGATGACTAGGGATTACTAGGGATAACTAGGGATAAATGGGATGACTAGGGATGACTAGGGATGATTAGGGATGACTAGGGATGACTAGGGAAGACTAGGATGACTAGGAATGACTAAGGATCACTGGGATGACTAGGGATGAGTAGGGATGACTAGGGATGACTGGGATGACTAGGGATGACTAAGGATGACTAGGGATGATATAGGTGGCTAGGGATGACTGGGATGACTAGGGATGACTAGGATGACTGGGATAACAAGAGGTGACTAGGGATGACTAAGGATGACAGGATAACTAGGGATGACTAGGGATGACTAGGGTGACTAGGAATGACTAGGGATGACTAGGAATGATTAGGGATGACTAGGGATGACTAGGGATGACTAGGGATGACTGGGATGACGAGGGATGACTAGGGATCACTAGGATGTCTGGGATGACTAGGGATCACAAGGGATGACTAAGGATGACTGGGATGACTAGGGATGACTAAGATGACTAGGGATGACAAGGGATGACTAGGGATGACTGGGATGACTAAAGATGACTAGGGTTGACTAGGGATGGCTCGAATGACCAGGGATGAGTATGGATGACTGGGATGACTAGGGATGACTAGGGATGCCTAGGAATGATTGGTATGACTAGGGATTACTAGGGATGACTAGGGATAAATGGGATGACTAGGGATGACTAGGGAAGACTAGGATGACGTGGGATGACTAGGGATGACAAGGGATAACTAGGATGACTAAGGATGACTAGGGATGAGTAGGGATGACTAGGGATTACTAGGGATGACTGGGATGACTAGGGATGACTAAGGATCACTAGGGATGACGGAGATGACTAGGAATGATTAAGGATGACTTGGGATGACTTGGATGAGTAGGGATCACTAGGGATGACTAGGATGACTGGGATGACAAGGGATGACTAGGGATGACTAAGGATGACAGGGATGACTAAGGGTAACTAGGGATGACTAGGGATGACTGGGATGACTAGAGATGACTAGGGATGAGTAAGGATCACTAGGATGAATGGAATGACTAGGGATGAGTAGGGATGACTAAGGATGACTGGGATGACTAGGGATGACTGAGATGACTAGCGATGACTGGGATGACTATTGATGATTAGTGATGAGTAGGGATGAGTAGGGATCACTAGGGATGACTAGGGATGAATGGGATGACTAGGGATGTTTAGGGATGACTAAGGGTGACTAGGGATGGCTGAGATGACTAGGGATGACCAAGGGTGACAAGGGATGACTGGGATGACGAGGGATGACTAGGGATGACTAGGGATAAGTAGGATGACTGGGATGAGTTGGGATGACTAAGGATGACTGGGATGACTAGGGATGGCTAGGGATGACTAGGGATGACTAGGGATGACTAGGATGACTAAAGATGACTAGGGATGACCTAGGGATGACTGAAATGACTAGGGATGACAAGGGATCACTGGTGCCATCACCTGTGGTCGATGCTATGTATCAAAGTGGTCGCATAACAGTGAAATTGCTACATAAATACTTTGCAAAACTGTATACCCAATGATTATGTGGGAACTGCTCTTCAAATCTCGTAATGCCAATTAAGATACCAGAATTAACTACGCTATAGGCTTCCCAAGATGGCGGCAACCAATTTAATTAGAACTTTTTTTGACATTACGAAAAACTTCTTGGATCAGTGGAGTGCTCGCATAAGTGGAGAGGAGATGATACAATTCTTGAAATTTTTAGATGTGCTTTATGAAGGCCAGCTATCCTTATAGGTGCCATTTTGATCTGCGAAGGGGTAGGGCGGGGAGGAGGGGGGCATGGGGGAGCTGTACTGTATCCACATAAGCACTTTCGTGTACATTGATATCTAGCAAGATCGTGTACTAGGACACCCCGTAAAATTCACTGTTTTGTGATGGAGTTCGGTATTTTTAAAATTAAACGAGATTTCTGTTTAACAGTAATCCAAACGGCGAGGAATAACCATTAACTTTTATTGATCATCTGTTGTATTTCATTAGCTTTTAGGTCTTTGCCGCCGTGTTGTTCAAAGACCATTTTCACCTTTGCCGTTGGCTATCAGAATACCAATAATCCTTTTTGGTGTTTGTGTGAGACTCACGGGTGTCGCATTCTTTCTGATCCCGTTTCTGTTGAGGAGATTGGATTACACTCACAAGGTAATGTTTTTCTTATATCTTAGAAGCTTTTCGAGGGAGTGTACTTCCTACTAGAGAGGATTCTCCAATACAGATACGACAAATAGCTCGAGCCGGTCCAGAGGATCTCCGGCCTCTGGTTGTGTTGTCACTAGGGCGATTAACTAGCTGAACATTCTTTCTAGGATTTGCTAAAATTTTACATAAGCATTGTCTTCCAAGAGAAATTGAAAACAACTGTTTAGCAAAATTTTGGAGGGAAAACAAAGAGTATTATCGAGTATTTTGGACGCAATGGGCTATTTCCGAATCGCCTCATGCCTAGGTTTCAAAGCGAGGCTAAGTGCAAAGCCATTGATAAGGAATGTTTTTTTTTATCCTCATGCAAATAAAACTCATTTTCACAATAAAGATTTTGTACTTATTCTTGTTTTGAAAGTGAGAGTTTTTGGAACTCGGAAATCGCCTCATAATGGCTAATAGTTCGGCTGTTTGTTGTTGTTATTTTTGTAGGAGTCTTAATTATTAATTAATTAATTATTATGTAATTACTTTAGGTTTGGTTATCCTTGTATTATATGGGACCTGTCGTGTTGTTGTGCTGGTTCAGTCTTTACCCAACAATCCTAATGCCCATGACCAGACGTTTCAGCAAGAAACCTCGAACTGAACTCACCTCAAAAAAGTAAGTAGTGGTACTTTTTTGTAAATATATTCCCCGTGCCGCACATGCAATTTTCTAGGTTCTTTGGCAGTTTATAGGATAGAGTAATTTCTTTACGTTTGTAGTGGAAATTGCTACTACTTTATTAACGATTCATAAATGGTAAATAGTAGAAAACTGTTAGCGTTTTAAAATGCAGATAACGTTTAGATACTAAGTAGTACAAAATGTTACATTCTTTATTTATTTTGTATATGCATGTTCATCATTTTTCTCTGCACCGTTAATATTTTATTGATCAATTTTCAAATATTTGAATAAATGCCTTAATTTATACTGCTACATGAAAAATTTCTACAATTTGATTGGCTTAGAGCAGTGGTAAATACCTACATGTGAAAATTACAACCTTTTGCGGGTAGTAGTATAAAAAACTATAAATAACATGATTTGTACGTGATATTTAGCATAAATACCACTCGTGATATTTCAAAATTGGCGGAAAATTTCACTCGCCTAACGGCTCGTGAAATTACGTATAACAATTTTGAAATATCACTCTTGGTATTTATGCCAAATATCACTAATAATCATGCTATTACCTACACTAATTGATTTGAAAAAATAAATTCTAGTTTTGTAGCTTTCGACTTTGATTACCAAGGTCAAGAATGAGCATACATGAAATTAATTAATTAATTAATTAATTAATGATGACGATATAGTGCCAGCACACCCCAATTCTTCGTCTACCATTCCGGATGGAATTCTATTCTATGAACACCAATAAAATACTAGGTGAAATTTCGCGCAATAACATAATATCTTCACACGTGAAAAGAACACCTTTGTTATGGTTAAATAAATCTCGAAAGTGAGATTATTTGGTATTTCAAGTGTGATTATATAATAAAGAAAACATTACATGGCCGCTTGAGCTAAGGATACGAAATTTGTCTTCTCGTGTTGAAAACTAATTTAAAACACTCGAAGAGAAACTTTGTATCTTCGCGCTGCTATGCAATATTCTCTTCATAATGTGGAGAGGGGAAATCCTGAGTAGCCTGCGAAAAACCTCTCAGAACCAAAGACAAACTCAAAACGTGCACCCACATATAGGGCCGGAAGGGCCGACTTTTTGGAGTCGGGCCCAAGCACGATGACGGCAGGACAACGGGTCTCACCACTTCGTCACCCTTGTAATCACCCTTCCCCGTAATAGATTTATCCAAAACAATAGATCCATCATTAAAAACCAAAACAATAATAATCACTTTTTGTTCTCTCTAATCGATCACCTCTCCTTTTTCAGACTCAATGAAACTCTAAAGGAGGAATAATCATGACAAAAGCGATTTTGGCTTATGGATCTGGAGCAGCTCTTAGTCCTAATAGGGAGCCCAAGCAACGGCGATGGCAGCGAGAATAACCAGATTAACTGAATTTAATATTTTTAAAGCTTTGTGGCGATTATTCCAATTCCACCACGGATATTCCCGGTAATTTCTGGAGATGAATTCTTAGGGAGGCACGGAAAGAGAAAAAAATATCGCCATCTTTTTCATGTGTGTTCCAATTCCTCACGTTAGAAAAGATCACCGAATTTCACCTCGTAGTCGCGCAGAGTAACAAATTTATCTACCATGAAGCGTGATGCACGGTTTCAGTCGGGTGAGTGAGTGTGAACGGTAGTTGCCGTTGTCGTGGTAGAAATGTAGTTTCTGTCTTGTAGTAAGCATCCTCGGGTACCCAGGAGAAGCTAGTCTGGACGATAGAATGCTTGTGGGGAAAGTTTACTGTAATATCACGACGAGTAAGCTTTCATCACCAACATTCTATCGTCCCGACTAACTGCCTCTGGGTCCCCGAGGATGTGTACTAAGCTGCTTAACCCTGGTATGGACAAAGGACAGAAAAGCCCGATAACGGTAAATCAGAGATTACAGGAGCTTCTCACGGTGTTCGGTTGAAAATTTCAGTTTGTATTACTCTAAAAGAAATATTTATAAATTTGTTACTTGATGTAGTTATATTTACCACCTCCAATTTTGAAAGGGTGACACCCACATATAATTAACAATAATCCACGAGTGCGCGTTGGATTTGAGATGGAAGATAACCAACGAAACGCGTAGCGCCGAGTTGGCTAAAATCATCTCATATCCAACAAGCGCGAGTGGAATAATTGTTTTATTAAAAACGCCCACAAAATATCGAGAATTCTTCCCGACTTTATTTGTAAAAATAACCATTTTTCAGCTTGTTTTTAATTTTGAGCAGACGTGTACGGTTACCATATTTGGAGAGCATGGTGTAATGTCTCATATACGACGATGGCTAAGCCAGTCTGAGTTCTAGAATTGCATTATCCAATAATTCAGTTTTGATAAGATGTATTATACTCTCTTTCAAAGAAGCTTCTAAGGCCCTGTCCACTCTAATTCGTTTTCAAAAGTATGCGTTGACGTTGTCTTCGAAAACGCATGGATCGATTAGCTTTCGCACTAAAACGTTCGTTCGCCTGCGATATTTTCGGTCACCGTTTTCATTTTGATGCGTTTTCAAACCGTCCAGACTAAAGGTGGATTTCTACTGGCGCATAATTTTCACGTTCGTACGCACGTAAATTTTACGCGCGTAAATAAAAAAGAGGCTATTTATGAAAGGCCGTGAGAAACGTTAAAGTTGCGCGAGGTTCAACTTTTTCGTTTACTCGCGACCTTCCATACATTGCCTCTATTTTATTTACGCACGTAATATTTACAGTAGACTCCCGATAACCTCACCTTCAACGGAAATCTAAAAAAGTTCGATTTAAGGAATTTCGAAGCAAGTGGCTGAAAATAAGGAAATAAGGAATTAGGCAACAAAGGGCCATTAATTTACAGGGATGGACACTGTAGTTGAAGTGGGTTGATGACCAAAAAGTAAAGACAAAGAACATACAGTTGTTTTGAAGTATTAAGTTCAATGTCTCGGACTGCAGCACACGCTTTTCTTCTTTTTCGATCAACTTGTCACGCGGTTAAAACATGGTTCTAGTTATCGAGGGTAAAATTATATAGAAATGATCTGATCGAATCTGAAGGGAAACAAAAATTACTTCGAGTTAGCGGAAGGGTCGAGGTATCGAGGGTAAAATTATAGTAAATGTATGAATTAAATACAGGGGAAATCGGTTTTGATTCGAGTTTGCGAGGGTTCGAGTTATCGGGAATCGACTGTACGTGCGTACGCACGAGAAAATTACGCGACCATAGAAATCCACCCCAATACGATACGTATGCGTTTTCGTTTTGATCCAATTTCAAGAGCGGGATTTGTGTGGGTATTGGTCAGGGTTAAGTTAATAAGGTTTCAAAGGACCCTTGTGTAAAAAAATTAACCAGGAACTCAGAAAAGAAATAAAAACGATGATTGTTTCTTCCGCTTTGCCTTTTTGACAGACGGCGCTTCACAATAATAAGATTCCTCGTGCAACAAGAAGGCGGGCGTTACACTGGCCGAATGTATTCTAGAGACGGATTAGCCGTCTAGACGGATAATTCGTCTCTGGTGTAAATTCGGCCACTGTGGCGATGCTCGGTACAACAAGAATAGCATTGATGACCTTAAGATTCACTTATACGCCAAACGACAAACGTGAGTTTGTACAACGCGACCAAGTTTTTCCCTTAATTGTCGTTTACTGTTTATCATTTCTCACACCAGTTTTGTCCGCAAGAATCGTTCTGGACGGTTTTTATGTACTTTTTTCCTGTTCTGAGAAATTCTCAACTTATATCTGACGTTTGCCGTTTGTCGTAAACGTGACTCTTAATCTCTCTATTGTCAATGTTTCTGGGCGGCAGGTACATGTCTTCCTTTGCACGGGAGCTTATGGCTGGGATGCCGGATTGTGTCAGCCATGCGACTGTGATATTCAATCTAGGAGCTACCTGCTAAAACGTAGAAGACCCTGGATACTCCAGGAACTCAAAGTCTATTGAGCGTTGCATTTTTTTAAACACAAAAGAACGTTGATTTATAATAACGGAAGTCAGATGATATCAAAAGCAAGGCAGCACCTATATCCAGGTTTTTCTTTGACAAATTATATTCCTCTATGCTTCTAAAAAGATAGTATGCAGAAACTAAGTCGGAGAGGAAGGGAGTCGCGGCTTTTATTTTTTCATACTTCTTTATTCTAAAACTCCATAGTAAAATATACAACCTGGGCAATTCATATCTCATATGATAAATTCTAAACAATTATAAAATAGAGGCTTCCAAAAGAATGATAATGCATTTTCCTCTAAGAAAAATATTTATATTCCCCAAGTGCTCTGAAAATATTAGCAAACCCTTAACAGGGACAATTGTGTGACGGAACCAGGTGATAGATCAAGGCTTACGCAAACATATTTAAGTCTACAATCAGTGTCCTATCTTGTCATTATGTATTGGAATAGCCTAGGCTGCCCCTTTATCTTCCACGTAATAGACCTTTTGCAGCCACAATGAGGGACACGTGTTGAGACACTTCTATAAAATGGCCCCTCTTTGAACAGTGGACATACCTATCCCCTTCCCCCCTGTGTACATCTTTCCATTTTCCAACAACCAATGTTGTTTTTTTAGACCCTCAAGTCTGTCTTTTACCACAAACAACATTGATTCGGGGGAGGGGGGATTTGCCGCGTAAAACAGAATGAAATAATATATGAATGAAATTGTGGATAAAAGCACCCGTTTTAGACAAGTGCGTTAACGACTTTTGTGCCTGATTGTAGTCATTCACGTGGTAAAAAACCGCCATGTTGGAAAGAAGGGGTGCACTGAAACAAGACAACCGACAAACCGCTAACATCATTAATTTTAAAAAAAGTAGTTTCCTTTGTTTTATGTCTCGTTCCAGTGCACCTCCTGCTCTCAGTAAAGCATGGCGGTTTTGTACCAGGTGAATAACATGCTGCAAAGGGCAAAGAACACAGTAGCAGGCCTTGCGTTTCGTTTCCACAAAGCACATGGCCTGTGTACAACCAAACGAAGACCTTGGTCAATCCAAGTCGGAAATGATACTGAAAAAGTACACAAAGCGTCTGATCGAAAGTTGGGATTAACAATAAATAATTTCTCTTCCTTATAATACAACTCAACAAACTGGAAAGTCCTAGTAATTATTCATAATTTTAGACTGTTATCAGTCCCCCGTGACTGCGTTCACCTCTTCCTTGTTCGTGCGCTCTCACGGATTCACTCTTGCCGTGTGAACAGCTTTCGCGCTCGACTGGTTGAAAAGCAGCTGCTAGTAGCCTACGATTATTTCTAAATCGCAAGTTTCAAAGAAAAAACCTTTCCATCCCTATCATAAATTATATTTTTTTTCTCGCCAAAAAGCGTAATCGAACTTTCCGTGCACAAATGCGTAGAATATAACGTTAGCTATCGACATAGCGATAAATGCAGACTTCTTAATTTATCTAAAAAAATTCCCTGCCCATTGCTGCTTCAATGCATAAATATGTTATTAAACCAAAGCTAAACAAGGTTCAGCTATTAAAATATCGCTTAGAATGTCCATTCAGGGATATAGCTTTGAAATAAACTGGCAGTTTGTCCCAATTTCGTGCAAAAAGTAAATTGGATACGCGGAACCGAGTTTTTAATAACCCCCTTTTAGTCCATTCCAGTCGATCTTGTCTGATGGATGACCGGCACGAGCTATGCATGTTCAAGATTTGCCGTTCCAAAGCTCTCTTTCTCGCGCCCTTGTTTAACGATATTAGCCCCTGATCAAATCAACTTGTTCGATCCAGGCTTAAGAGCCCACCCGATGACTGATGGCTGATCGAATCATACTCTTCCTTATGCATCAAAGAGTCGGTTTTGCAACAACTTAACCTTGCAAGACACTCATTTTGCCATAAGATTCGCCTTTTTGTGCCCTCTTTTGTTAATAATCAGGCATCGCTGGGAGCGCACATCAGTAGCCTCTAAACTGGAGTTGTAGGTTCTTTGAGTTCTACTTTGACCGTCTGTTGTACCTCATCGTTAAGATTCTTGGCATAGTTGATTTTCTGCGCCACCTGATGAACAAAACACGTGTAAGCTGTAACAACTACTCAGTGCACAAAATGGCACAGGAAAAGTTCACTGGAAAAGTCAAACTATTTCGGGTTTGAAAAATAATTTTAAGGTTAATCAAACTTTTCCAGCTCCAAAACTCAACGTAAGGGGAGCAAAATGCTGTACACATAAAGACGATTATTTACTTAACTTCAGTTCTTAAATCCGAAATTCTAATAGAAATTCTAATAGACCTCTCCCGTATTTAGCTCTAATGAGCGCACACAATGAAAAGAGATGGAGGCTTATGATGACAATTTCATACAAATCGCTGATTTTGTCACCCTAAGTGAGCCTCGAGTTGCTGCGTTTGTACGCAGGAATGCGGTAACGGTCCATACGCTAACTAAAAGTTGTGCGAGTTTTGGATCTCAAGGTACGTCTAGTGAATAATCAAAGTCGAATCGAGTTTAGCGAACCGACCGCGGTAAGGGCACCCTCCTGTTTTCTGGAAAATCATGGGTCAGTCATTCCTGTCAGAGATTTTTTTCACCCTCTTGACAAAATAGACATGATATCTGTCTTAGCACAAACCTTCTGCGCCACACTCTGCTGGTCGCATCTGACCCTAGGCCGTTTGCTTGGGTTTTTAGACGGTGTTGGCACGCTGCTGTTGTCCGCTTTCATCACCAGCTCGATGTAACTTTTTCCGTCTTTGAACAGAAACAAAATGGTAATTAGATCATGGCTTAGCGTGCGTACATGCCGCTTTGAAGCGTACGAGAAGTTTGCAGAGAAGAAATGAGAGAAGCCTTATAGCTCTTCAATCTTCCGCCGTACTTCATAGATTGATGCATATAGGGCCGAAAACATCAGTAATTGGTATACAACAAGGCCAACTCGGTAAAACCACCAAAGTGCTCACGAGGAAAACGAAGCACCCTCGAATTAGGATTTTCTAGCTGTTCTAAGAGAGGTTACCCACGAAAATGTCTGTCGTATCGTGGATTATAATGCTACATCTGATTAAAAGACCAATGGATAAGACAATTGGACCAGTAGGAAGGACGAATATGTATTTTTGGCTTTAACGAGTAAAGACTGAGTTGACGAAGCCGGACACTTCAGAAATTCTAGTACTTTGCTACACGTTATTGGCCAATCAAAATCATTGCCTAATTCGCTAGAGAAAGGCGGGTCTGTTCATCCTCGTTCCAGCCCATAAACACGTTAAAAAAAGAGCATATAAGCTTGCCTGTTGAAAGCTACAATTCATCTCTGCTCTTTATAATCACAGTGCATTCGAGCATTGCCGCATATGAAGGCTCTCCGTTTTCAAAATTAAAAGGCATTGGCAACGTAAGCCTCACTTTACACTGACCGCGCTAAATGCTAAGATACATGGAATCAACGTTTTTTGTATGCCTATAAACTCGTGTTAGCAACAATAAGTAAGATTCTTAACAAAGGGATCTTACCAGTGGATAGAGGCTGGCAAACGTAGAGGTCTGAAAAACGTACAAGCAGAACAATTGACTCCGGGGAGGGGGTCCCACGTGCTCGGACAAAGTACACACCCTCTGTAGTAACGATAGCCTTTAGCCGGTCTTCCCTGTCACGCCGAACAGTCTCCGACAGAACGAACCTGCATGGTGAGACACCAATATAGTTTCATTTTACCCTACATAAATGACACAAAATATTGAAAACATCACCTTTTACAATAACAAGAAGAAAAGAAGTCTTACTTTTCATTAAAATTGCCTTCATTAAGCTTCAGCATGATCTCTTGACCTTCTGCATGAGTCGCCGCGAATCTTGGGATAGCACCACTGGGTCCAAAGCAGTTTCTGCGCAAGCGTGAAGGTTTTGGCATGAAATTTCTGGTGCTACGTGTCGCTTGACCCCGGACAGCGGCTGCTGCACCCGACGCAAAGTCCAGGACTCCCGCGGTTGGTTTGGCAAATGTTCCCACAATTCCTTTACCGATACCAGTTATGAAGCCCTGAAAGAGAGAATATCTCGCCATTACCCTGTATCCAATAATGGGCCTTTTGCAGCTAGTCACTCAAATGGTACAAAACAAGACCGCCATGCGCCCAACATACTGGGAGAAGACAAACAAAGCAAACTGGTTGGTAAAATGAGTAAATTCTTTGTTCCTCTTGTCCCAGTGGGTACTGGCTTTCTCTCCAGCATGGCGGTTTTGTCCCAAGCGGATGATATGCTGGAAGACACGTGAATAACATGTGAAAGCGCACTTACAGACACGCCAGAGTTATGAGCGCCCTCTATTGGCTGTGTTACGATACTGGTGAGTCCACCGACTAAACCCATTCCAAGGCCCTTGACGCCTGCTACAAAATGATCCTTGGAACTGCCAAACCTCTCCGCTCTCATCGCGTCACGGCTCTCCTGGAACTTTGTGTCCATAGACGCATTCCACAGGCCATCTGACAACGACCCAGTGATCTAAAAAAAGATTAATAATAATTATATCAAACATGAGACAGTGTTGTATCCGATATCAAACACTGCGGGAAAGTAGGGCACTTCTTGACAAACTTTGAAGTATTTGATATTTCGATAGAAAATGATTTTGAACAAGGATTAGCAAAGCCGGTTAGTGTGCGGCCTTCTGTGCGAGAAGTTCCGCGAGTTCGATTGCAGTAGTGACCTCAAATCCTTTTTTGGACTTCTTTCCTTTCCGTGTAGCCTCGAAAAGTAGGTTTAAAACAGAGCACTGATGGATAGAAGGGCGTAAAATGAACGCACCGTCGAAATCAGCTGTTTCGTGTTACCAGTCACCGACGTAGGATAAGGACTTTTACCCTCTAGTACCTTTTTTGTTTTGAGGGATAAACTAAAAACTACACAGTGAAGCGGTTGGTCCTGCCTATGTACAATAGTTCGACCACTCCTCGTATTAGCATGCTTTGACTTACTTTAGCCGCGCTATCAGACACACCATGGGCCACATTCCTGAAAAGTCCTCCAACATTGCCTCTCTTTACCAGTCCTTCTAGGCCAGATGACACGTCATTGATAAGTCCCATGGGATTGCCAAGAAAATCAACTGAGCCTACGATAACTGCCGCTTGACTGCGAATCTCCTATAGAAACAAAAAAAAAGATTTGTTATGTTACTGAGGAGGGGCTCCCAAGGCTATATAAAGTCGTGGAGTTCACGATTTTGCCTGAAAAAGGAGACTCGAGACTTGAGCGGATTTAGTGAGCGCATAGCATGGCAATGCTGGATATAGAATTTTTACGTGCGTCCATTCAAATCAACTTTAATGAACAGTGCTTTTACCTTGAATTGTCCAAATCCACATACAGATGGTAAAGTTGATCCCAACAGTTAAAACACTGTTATGCAAAGTGTTCCTGTTTAGGAACATGTAACTACAGCTTTTCCCCAACGATTCAGTTCTTATACCACAAAATGATACTCCATTATATGAAGGTAAACACAACCGTGAATAAAATTTTCTTTCATAGCAGAGCTGTCATTAAGGGCGGTAACATGTAACACCTGTTAGGCATGAGCTCACTCGATGTCACGAGCGATCAAAGTGGGAAGCTAAAGATGACACTGTAACTGTTGGTGAGACGTTAAAGGCTAATCTTCACTTGATGCGGCTGCTTAAAAACGTAATGACGGCCCTATGTAGGCGAACCCTTGTTCTGATGAAGCTAACAAAGTAACAGCCCGAATATTGAAAAAGCATAACAATTTAGTTGTCTCTGAAAATTTGGGCCGGATATACCGAACAGTTTCGGAGAAATTCTCTTTGAAAAATCCCAATTTTTACAAAGAATGTATGAGTTCATTAACGTTTTTGCCATCCAGCAATTTTGCAGTTTTTGTTTGCTACTATTTTCTTTGTTATTGATTGCAAAGAGCTGCACAAACTCCTCAAATTTACTAGCTCTTTCAATTTTTGAACCTAATTTGCATATACGACGACGTCTTCTGTGGGTTAACTCGTATGCTAATGAGCAAAAATGTAAACAATGACTTCAAGATGAATCCACTGATAAGGTTTATCCTAGAGTGCGGCATTGTACTTTTTGTTTTTCGTTTAATTCAAGTTCCTACCTCAATGTAATGTTTACTCATGGAATCCAGCAAGGAGGACATTGTGTCAAATGGATGAGAACGAGAGAAAGACTCTACAATAAAATGAGAAACAAACAAAATAATTAGTTTTAGAAAAAAAATCATGCATGGACAACATAATCCTGAGGACTTCTAAATAAAGGTAACATGAAACATAGGTTAAGAAAATGACATGTAAGAAATTAGAAGGAAACGTACGATAAACAAATCTGTTTTGCAGAATTTTAAAGTCATTTATTCAGTATGCTTTCAAACATCTGGTCTGGCAGGCTCAATTGTAGGTTAAGACTTCTGGTTCATGAAGGAAAATGATTGGACCCAGCGTAAATTTTAAAATACACATCGAAAAAACATATTCCTCAATTTACCGGAGAAATACCTACGTAAATGTGTTTGTTTGTGACGTACCTAAGTCTATAGAAGCATCCTCTAAATTGACGAGGATAAGTCCCACACTGCTTTTCAGGCTCTGTAAGTCTTCGGGCAGTCGACTGGCACTAGATACTGAAAACTTGAGCTGAGTGGAATTCAGCTGAAGATGCTCAAAGTAATAACGCTTTAAAGAGGCTGGTGAACTCGGGACCGTGGATCTGAAAAATGTGAGAATCGTGTTACAATTTTGTTATGGATCTCGAACAATAGACGGTTTTTACTTGAAGTCACGTCCGCCATATTGGTGTCCCAAAACAACAAAACGGCGGCCATGTTGGTGTCCAAAACCAATCTTGGGGAATGAACTCTTTTCTTATGCTAAAACTTTCTTTTGTTCACAGAAAGTTGCATAGATGCTGGAAAAGTGAGTGCAAAGGCTGTATACATTCTTTGGATGATGTACAGGGGACATTTTACTCTTCAGTTGTCAACCATCCTTAATTAAAGAGTGTAAAGAAGTGACGAACAACACTTTTTGCACATTTCTTTTATATATGGACGGACCTTTTTCACATATTCCTCATTTAACTACAACTGCCAGTTCGACTATTAAATGTACGAAATGTTGCTTATTAGGGACCTTACACCTCTTAATGTCCAATCAGACTCTTTTCAAACAAAACTATGACTTTGCATATTTCATATCTCTCGAACAGCAAATTATTTCGGACAGTTTATCCACTAAACACTTTGAATATGTAAATGGCGTCAAGATGAAGAGTAACCCTGATCTGGAGGAAAAACCGGGGCACTGTTCCGGCACACTAACTGGGACTTTTAGATCAAAAAATCAAATATTGCTTTGAATTTCGTTTATAGTTATGGCCGGTTTAAGTGAACAATCAAAGTAAAAAAAACACTCGGTTGGCCATTTGTCAATGATTAGCTTGCCTGCAAGGATACTCTTCCTAGAGTTCGAAATATAACATTTACCAAAATTTCATACGCTTGTTGAGTGGGAAAAAATGGAAAAAGTAAGCGCATTTTACGCTACGTTCTCCAAACAACTTTTCGTTGTTGCGATAGTAGGGACCTAAGTATAAACGAAAGGGGCAAAATACGAGGAAAATCTTCTCTGCAGTCGCGACTACGCGAAACATCTCAACAACTCAGCGTAGCCCCGGGACTACGCAGGAAAAATGAACAGTGACGTAGTACTGATCATGCGCAGTAGCATGTTTAACCGTTTTCGTAGACCACAGTCGTCACATCGTAAAGTCCCGATGCACATGAAATACAACAGTTTTAGCTAGGATTAATGTGTTAGGAAAAAAGCGGCGAAAAGTACCGTTGTGTAGCATAAAGGCATTCATCCTCTTCCTCATTTGAGCCCGCAATGTCATCATCTTGTTGTACATAACCAAAGAACTGTAGCAGCTTTAGAAGCAATAGTTCCTCCAACTGCAGAGTCATCTTACGCAGTGAAACGTCCAGAGACTGCGGACAAAAACGTACAGCTTTAAAAACGGACAATAGCCACTCCCGCGTCACATTTTCAAGCCCAAATGCCTTTTTAAAACAACGGGCATCAGACGGACAACTCCTCCACCCAACGGAAAGATTGCCTTCAGCTCCCTTCCCCCACCCCCCAACGAGACACTCCCTGGTAGGTACAAATGAACCCCCTCCACATCTTACAGTCCAGCAAGGATTAACAATACTTCCGGGAAAGTCGATATGCCTTACTTCAGTAAGAGTTGTTCAAAAAAAAGTTTCTCAGCTTGAATGACGGGTTGTTGAATGTTATTGTGTCTAAGGGAACTTGGTGTTGGCTTGTGACAGTGAGGTGTGAAACAACAATTTAGTTATCTCCGATTGAGCTGATAAAGTCAATTTCCTCTCCTATCCTGTAGTCTAGGTAACCGGCGACTACCATTAAAAGATCATAAAAATGTCGTTTCCAGAGCTTGCCCATCGTTAGAGCGAAGCACCGGAGCGAATCGACCTTTTTACTAAGCGCTAGCCCTCGAAAGGAAAGCTTTTTGATCTTTAACCTCAGTTGATAAAGCCAAATCTTTACGTTTCTAAGCCTGGGTTTGCTTCATTGTTCGTTAGATTTCTTTTTATCTTTCACCACTTTCAGTATTTCTTTCTCTGCGTACTTCAAGATAACAATCACTAATAAGCAATTAGTGGATGAGGCTGAGTATAGAAGAATTGTGTAGAGATCCACCGAGGCTTAAGTCTCTACACTGCCGAGACAGCTGAGTAACCGCGCCCTCTGACCCTTTTTCTGTCAATTATGATGTCATCTTGAGGATATCAGTACACATCTTCCAAATAATTTTAGTCAAAGGCAGCGGACTATGAAGAAGTAGCCAGAGGATTTAGCCAATCACAGACAGAAATACTTTGAATGAGGAATAATAACGGCAAGGCTGTTATTGTTAGTTGACGCACCTTAAATATCTCTACGTTAGGCAGCCTGCTTGGTTCTTTAGTTGCTGAAATATGAAGCATTGGCTGTTGCAAAGTAGTCTCTTCCTTGCTGCCCTTCTCAGGAGAGGAGGGGTAGAGTAGAACCGGAAGCTGACTGGCAAACAACTGGTTGTCAATCTGTAAAGCGAAAGACAAATAACAAGAGTAATATGAAACAACACAACAGCGATCTTTCACAATTCCTCAAAGTGGTTCTTCGTCTACCATTCCCGAGGGAGAAGCGAAGGGGGGTTTGGGGTGGGGTGGGGAAATTGGGTCTTTTCATTTCTCAAGGACAAGTTAATTCCATTAAAATTAATAGCTTCTAAGAGCTGTGTTCTATTAATTAAGATACATGTAGTTTCGAAAATCAGTTGATGTTTATCACTGGAATGAGATTAGAAAGCTTCCTGACAATTATTGTCTAGTTAAGAGTGTCGAAACGGATTTATTAAAAGGACAAATAAATAACCTTTCAATTCATGTAACTTCAAGTAAAATAAGTAGCTCCTTGTTATAACTGCTTTGATCCAACGGTAGATTTAAGAGTACTTACCGTTTACATGGGTAAACCGGAAATTCCAGATGGAAAAATCAAATGGTTGGCGTCATTCCGTTTTTGGGAAGCTTCAGAAAATATGGGTTGTGAATTGACTGAGGCGATGCAATTTTTCTGCTCTTATAGTCTGTTCAGGTGGTCTGGATAAACTTTGTAGCGGGTTGTTCTTCCATCACGTCAAATTTTATCGTTTTAAGCACAAGATTTCCACCCGGGTGGTCTGTGCAAATGGCAAGCTCCCTCTATTTTTTGTTAAGACAATGCACAACATTCCTAAGATACTTACCTGAATGCGTCCTATGCTGCCTTCCAATGTCTCTAACTGACTAGTTCGTAAATAATCCATCTGTAAGTTAAGAACCAAAACAATAAAAAAGGCAATCAGTATCTGAAGCGGGCCGTCTGCGCGCGTATCTGAAGCGGGCCGTCTGCGCGCGAGGGCGACCCGACTCAGGTCGGGTTTATTGGACGTGTGCGAGAAAAGCCCGAGAATCTCTACGAGCAAAAGCGGTCCGCCTATATAAACTGTTTACCATGTAGCTGTTACATGTATTTAAGATTCTAAAGAAAAAAAAAACATTAGAATACACAAAAAATTACACTTGTAATAGTCTGACCCCACGATAAGTATTTCGAAATTGCGAAACGAGTAAGCGAATCTGAACTTTCTTACTTTAGTTTGCTAAAACAAAGGAAATTATGGAAAACATCTACAACTTCTCTACTATAAATTACTTTAGAAATTCACACCGCTGCCCTGATTCGTCTTTCTACAAATGTCCAATCCAATGCACCATTTCAACTACAACAACACTAAATGAACGATTAGTATGCCAGTTTAAAGAAGTTTACCTCTATTTGCTCCAAATTGATAAATACAAGTTCCTCTGGCACCGAGTTAATAACTGAGATACCGATGCCTCCAACCAAACGAACCTGCACCTCAAGCGCTGTAGAACCTTCATCTGCGCCCACGTTACTCACAGTAGCTTGCCGTAGACCACCTCTCCGCTCGACTAGCATCCAGTCTTTGTCGGCCTCTTCTCCTGACTGTGACGAAACGTTATTTGAATACAAGATCGTTAAGTATTCAAGTGCCATAGAAAAGTGCGCCTACAGAATTTACGTTATAAATTTACTTGATTTTCTATTTGTTTTTCAGCAGTTCAGAATTTCCACTTGGCCAAGTCAAATCTGCTTTCCCCAGAACACATTTCAACACAGGAAAGAGACAGAGAAAACGAAAGAAAACAAAACATATGCAAGGAGAAGCTTCCACACTTTGTGCCAGTACGTTGTTATAGGAAAGACGATGATAGCGGGATACTTAAATTTCTTCTCTTAAGGTTTTTAAATTTCTACACTTATAATCACACCAGCGAATGCGACTAAGATGAATAAGCGGACAACTAGAAAAGCATAAGCATAAGCCATACACATGAAATGCATCGCCAGAAAAAAAATAAAGTGTAGTTGAATAGCTGCTGTATATCCACACAGAGCTTTGAAGCGCACCTGTTGCAAGCAATCAGTGATTTGCAGCACTCTGGTCGGACCATCTGCAAAGATTTTCACCCCAAGGCAACCTGAGCCGGGTCTGAGTTTACATGTGTTGATGCACTGTTCAATTGGAATCTGATCGTCTTTAGTGATGTTTGCTGGGCCAAGGACCGCGTCCACACCTAAATAAAAATCAGCAATAAAGTTACCGCTGAAGCTGTCTCTGGTATGTAACTCACACGAGAATAAATCTCCCGTGCTGAAATAGCTAGAAACGCAAGATACGACTAACTTAGAGTCGTTCAAAGCCTGCAGAGCGATGAATAACCCTTTGCTTGCTCTGCCGCCACTACTCTCATCTCTACTAAGATTAGCTTCTTAAGCGTTCGTTAGCCAGGATGTACATGAATTAAAACTTGAGAATACCTGGGACACCAGTTTAAACTTCAGTGCTTTTTTTGTCAACAAATTAAGAGTAAAATGAACGATTACGCTTCGTTCACCTTCGAGAGAATCAATCGATATCCTTCTTTAAGAGAAGTAGTATGAGAAAAATAGAACTCCTCATACCATACCCCATAAGGAAAAAGTGTCGCGTACACTTACCGTCTCGAAGGCCTTTAATCCCACCTTTGGGTTGAACATATAGTCCCGGCAGATCACACTTCATGCGATTATCCTGTCATGGATAAATGTACTTACTTATTAATCTTGAACGCATTGAACTCAGCTGTAAACAGTCAAGTTACGTCAACACTGACATCCCCCCCTCTAAATCACCACCCCGCCCCCACCTTCGACCCCATCAAAATGACTGAGTTAGAATTAGAATCAGAAGAAATTTAGTTCTGATCTAAAGACAAGCATACGGACAATGAATTTAAACAAGTTCATAATCACTGGATATTATTCAAAAAGATCCAAAACCCCACTACAAAACAAACGTGTTATCAAACACTGGTTTTCTCGGCCCGCAAAGCTCAAGTAGCCAAAGGAAACAGCCGACATTTCTCGGAAATTTGCAGTGCTTCTTCCAACCAGAAGCAGTACTTAGACATGGGTAGTGACACGTCATCAGTGTAGAATTTCTGCGCACGTTCCTCAGAGATGGTGTCGCGAAATGTCGACTCTTTTCTTAGGTTACGACCAAGAACTGTTATGGAGCCTTCGCAAAATACGACAAAAAAAGCCAAAACAAAACGTCACTTGCTTTTGGTCGCCCTTGAGGAAAAAGTTAGCGAGGATAAGGCTTCTCGTTACCTCAGTAAAGGACCATGTTTGTGAATGCACCCGTCTTGGGTTGGGTTTACTCAGCACCAGTCGCACGTACTTGCCACAAGTGGGAGGAGCTAAGCTGTCAATGTCTAATACAAGTCCAGCATTGAATGATGATGGTTTGACAGACGGTGGACTGGAGCCCTCATGACGTAACAGACCTTCACCAGTCAGTCGCCACAGCTGCGATCTCCTGTGAGGCTCCTAATGAACAAAAGTACAGTCAATACTCAGACGTCAGTTGTTAGAAGCAAACGATGCCCAAAAGACAGTCATAACTGCCAGGGGCCTGGCTGACTTTCATTTCCAAATATCCTGAAACTTGCTTGCATGACTGGTACGCACTGACCTCACCAACACTTTGAGCTCAAGCTTTTTAGCTCACCCCAACAACGCATAATTTAGTACAAGTGTAGAGTGATCAAACCAAAAATTTGTAGGTGGCCCGGGCCTACATGTCTCTGAGCTGGCTACGCCCCTGACTGCGGGCTTATTCCGCCAGCTTTTACCTAATAACGTGCCTGTGGTTACAAAGTCCAGTAAACTATTAGATTGGCGACGTTTTCTTTGCTAGATAATCATTTGCATTTTAATAGACATGAATCCTGCATGGTTATAAGGCAAACCCAGTACTTCTTTTGGCAGGTGGTTAGCGAGAAGGGAGTCCCGAGTTAACTATCAAAGCGAATATAAAATGAGAAACCACGTTTACAAGACGACATATTAGCGAAGAAAGAGTTACTTGATCCTTTTATAAAAATATTTAACATGAACGAGGTTTCAAACTCTACGATAAAAAAAAAACTCTTTTTCAAGTGGTGGACCTCGACTTTGTCACGTGACCTCCCCGCGAGTTACCGGGCCGATTTGTCTCGTGGACTCGCAGTATAAATCCCGTGACAAAACGTGGAACTCCATCACTTGATAAAGATTCTGTAATGGATTCGAAAGTTTATTGTGTTAAAAATGTTTTATCCTGGAGATTGAAACCTTTTTTGTGTTAAATAAAATACCGACACTTTTTACTAAGGACAAAGCAATCTCAGCTTAGCACTCCTGGCTTACCTTTCTTCTCAACAGTACAGCAGAACCTTGTGGTACATCCAACACAAGTTCTCGTAAATCCAACGACGTTTCATTACCTGCTGTGGCAGGTCTCAGGTGAAACGAGCCACAAACGTGACCATCCGTGCTAAAAATGATGAAGAGACACAGTTTAATGAGAAATAGTATTCATTATCTTCCCCAGTTAAGTAGATAGTAGCATTTCAATCGTCGTGAAGCAAATCGTTCGGCTATTTAAAAAAGCGTGGTGAGTAGTCCAACTTGGGACTGAAAAACAGAAAAAGGGCGGGATTGAGCTTGAAATCTCACACCCCAAAATATTCGCTCATGTTAATTCTCAAAATTGTGTGATCGAAATTTCTGAAACTCTGGCTAATTCATCACAGTTGGCAGTTAAAAATGGAGCTGGCCTAGCTTACCAAATCGATTCCAGGGCTTTAGAGGCACTTTAATAGAGGGATTTCGAACCATGTTTACGGCAAAAGTAAATTTGTGCCACGTGTTTCCCATTTTCTTCTCGCTTGAGCACGGAGGTTTTGGAGTGACGCATGTCAACCGGAAATGACGACTTTAATACGCCTTGACGCTATAAAATGTGTATTGCTAAATTCCTTTACTCTTTATAAAGACGACAATAAAGACTTTAAGATCCAACGACGCGACGGCAACGAGAACATCGCTGAAAAAGTGAAGTTGCCTTCTTCCAGTCTTTACCGCAATTATTCCTTCCCACTTCCTTTGTCAAATGTAGGCGAGCCCTCCTGGAGTTATCCAAGTGCATATCCATATCCAAGTGCAGAAAGAGAAACAAAATTTGGGTATTTTCACGTGGTAGTCGTGCAAAAACGGGCAAAAAATGCCGCACAAAAAGACGTGATGCACGTGCAAAGTTGCTGTTTTACCTATTAAACCTATTGTTTTTTTGACGTTCTTGTTGCCGACCGCGTCGTTGGATCTTCAAGTCCCTAGTGTGGAGAAAACCACTGCCCGGAAATTCAAAATTTCCACTTCCGGTTGACGTGCATCGCTCAAAAACGTCTTCGCTTGCACTCCCTAATAAGTAACCAAATTCGAGAAACTGCCAACCTGAAACGCTATTGAAACTTGATTCGAAGTCTCTAATGAGCTCAGATTAATCACCTGGCAAATGTGTGTGCAAAGACGACGTATATGGGATTATAGTAGTAAAGTCTTTCGCCACCACCAAGATCTTGCATGTTGTACTGCATGTAAGATCCAGCACCCTGTACTCCAACAGATAATTCAGGCAAGAGAGTAGGCTCGTCCCACGAGTAAGGTACTGTGAAAAAGGAGACACAGATTACTTACTATTACTCGGAGGAAGCCACCCTCTCAAGAGTGCGCGAAAGACAAGGACAGAAAGAAACGACAAAAGACCTCGATCCTTAGCTTGTGTGCTTTCTTTCCCAATGAAGGTCTGAGTGGAAATTTGTCCCTTTGTGTTTTTGTTACAATATGCGCTCATATGCATGCATAAGACGGAATTTGAAAGAAACAGTTTTCTGGACTTCGTATTACTGTGTCATGCTAGCTGAAACAGCATATGCTATAGAATCATCCATAGATCTTAATTGTCGTTAGCTACAAGGCATAGGTAGATTTTGGACGGCAAATTGTTGCGTCGTTCCCAAGAAACTCAAAAAGGGAATTGCACTTAAGCACTCTTAGAATAGTGGGAGGGGGGATGGCTCGCAGTGGTTAGAGCAATAGTGCCGGTTCAAACCCCGGTGGCGCGTCGACGTCATATATGGATTAAGTTTGTGGTTGGTTCTCGTACGCGTCCTTGCTCAGAAAGTTTCTATGCGTACTCCGACAATCCACATGTTCAGGCTAATTCACAGCCAGTTACAGAACGGCTTATCTGACTGGCGATCGTAACATCGTCACGAAATATTCACCAATAATCAATCAGGTCAATACTAAAAATGGATAACTCTTACGATAACCCCTACACAGTTTGTCAAAACGCCATTAACTGTTAACAACATTCCTATTTAGGATTGCAATCACACGGACGAACACAATTTATTCACCTACATATGACACTTCGAAATTATTGGAAAAAGTTTTACCACGTCATTGTAATTGATCCGTTCCTCAACATAATCATGAATACTCACGACTACAACGGTTACTGCTTTGGTGGCATTAGTAAATGAGGAATTTTTTATTACCTGACTGTTTTGGTTGTAGAATGGTACGTAACCTGTCTTCAGTTCCACTCTGATAGAAAGTGATGGCCACCTAGCAAAAAAGGGACGCTATACTCAACTGAAGCCCAAAATAAGGTTTGACAGCAAAACAGAAAATACAACCCGATAATTTTTTTTACCATTATTTCGATTTATTACAAGCAGTAGGTCTAAAATGTGTCACGGAATATACAAACCTCCGATAAATTGTCGATCCTGAATGGTGGCGGCAGCTGCGAGGCATCGGCGAACAGAACATGAAATGTCGCTCCTCTCAGCACCACTTCTACTCTGACAAACAACGAACAGCCACTCAAGCTCCTAAAGATGGGAACAGCAAACCACATAGTATCATTTAGTTGCGAGGCTTTTAAGGACTCCGTGTCTGATAAACGCTCTGTCTGACTGACTGGCTTGCTCCCTGGTTGACTGTGGGATTGGGTGACAAACAGATGGGGCCTTCTAGAGAACCAGTCAGCTGGTTCAATAATTGGTCCATAATCAATCAACTGGACTGACTGACACATGACTGCATTTCACGGTGAATTACTATGTTTAGTATTGATTGACTCACCTGACCCAATAACTTTACATTTACTTAGTTCGCCAGTTCTTGGCAGGGTCACCGCAACAGCGCCTGGAGCAACTACGCGGGCCCTTAACAGTCCCTTCCCCCATGGGAGATGGACCACCACACCGGGGACTACGTCCCACACTCTTTACGAACAGTGTCTGCGTTCTTTAACGTCCCACAGAATCTATATGTGCAAGGGTTGTGAGACTGGGCCTACGGTTTATCGTCCTTATCCGAGAAGAATAGAGCGTCTAACCGTTTGCAGATGCCTTTACAAAGACAGCACATTCTCCTCAGTTATTTCAAGACCCTGAGCGTTGGTCTGGCCGGGCTTTGAACCAACGGCCTCCCGCTAAGCAGAACGGCGGTTATCCAATCGAACTAACCGGGCGACGGTTGATGTTACCGACTAAATGGCATAATTCTGTGTTTTCACTCACGTGGCCAGCATCTATGCAAATTTATTGGAACAAAAGAAAGCGTTTACATAAGAAAAGAGTTCAATTCCCACAGGACTGGTTTGGGACACAAACATGGCCGCCGTTTCATTGTTTTGGGACACAAATATGGCCGCTATGACGTCATGTGAAAACACACAATATTCAACCAGGTTTAGCGTACTACCGTAGATGCTATAAATGAATTGATTTGTTTAACAATTAATCACTGCTCATCAGGAATGCAGGAACGCAGACTTGGGGCAGTGACTAAGAGGCTTAATTTTCATTTAATTAACTGCGAATTTAAGGTGGCACGCTTGACCTGAATTGACTCTAAGTGTGAATGACCGACTGCGTGGTCCGTCATCAGCTAGTTTGACTTAAATCGTATCAAATGGTATACGAGTGATTACTACCAGGGGTTAACGAACCTCATGTTAACATGGAATGAATCGTCTCTGTCAATCTTAAAACCACCAGACCACTGGCAATGGGAGACGTCATTTAACCTACAAAACCAAGGAATTCAGGTATTAAAGTTCATTAACACCTTATCAGCAGGGGCTGTCATTAAGTTTTCAAGTCGCAAAGTACAGAGTATATGCAATTAGTAGGCGGAGAATTTAAAAGCCTTGAAGTTCTTTTGCTTTGTTTTGCTTTTTTTCTTATAAAAGTAACCGGAGGTCGTGCTCAACACCTCTAAGGATACATATCTATAATAGGCACGGTTTTCTGTAGAACGGCCAACAAGTCTGTTGCCGGCCAGACTCGCAACCTCTGCTGTTCAGCTCGCAATCGTTTGTTCTTCATTCGTGTTCCGACCATGCAAACTACAAGTTTTCATCAATACAAACATCTTAAATTAAACAAATTCAAATTTGTACACTATAGATTTATTACAACAACTTTAGACAAATTCAAAGAAGACAGTACGGATTCGATTTACAAGCATGCGCGAGGCACCGTGGCTAGGACCGGCAAGAGCCCTGGGCTTGCATTCCGGTGTCCCCAAGTTCAGGTACTGCCCTGGCCGCTAGTTGAATTTTCTCGTCTTCCCGAATTGAAATCCTCGCCCACGCTCATAATTTTTTTTCAGTCATTTGCTCGGCCCCACTAGCATTCGTGCTTTGAATATTGCCGGGAGTAAATAGACCTACATGTAAAAAGCGTATTATTTCATGTATATATTGCAGCTAACTCCAGTTAACATAAATCAATGCAGGCGACGTATAGAAAAGTGCACCTCATAGGCTCGATTACCAGCCGCTGTTCGAGAGTCAGTGAGTCCGCGCTCCTCCGAACACGATCAGTCATTAACGCATCAAGCCGTATCATCACGGAAAGAACCGAGAGAGTGGCGGAACTCAAGCCTAGAGCCTTACCTAATACATAGAAGTTGATCCAAGTCAGTTCTGGCCCAGTGAAAAAGCACCAAGGCTCCTGGTAAAGCTGTGAGAGCGCCTTCGGGGTTTGTTGCTCCCTAAATTTTATTGTAAGAGAACAGGCATGAAAAAAGTGATGAGAGGAAATTTGAAATGTTGTGTTTATGAGTGTCTAAAAGTGCAAATCATCATAGTTCATTCTGAGCCTCAACTCCTAAAAATTAAGAGGAATAATGGGAAATAAATGCAACGAAATGTTAAATTCTAATAGCAAGCAAAACTGGCGGTGAACTAAGCGACTGAGAGTTGAGGTCACAAAGGAGCAGGGGTGAGGTTACTCTACTTTACTTTACTTTATTGAATTCGCCACGGTGACTCAACACGGTGACAGAGGATGAAACAGGAACAACCTCCCAACTGATACCTACACCTTCATTCTCCACCCAGCCCATGAATGCATGGTTGTACTACACTACCGGGGTCTATGCCCCCTTCTCTTTAGGAACAGCAGTGTGGATTCTTTTACGTCCCACAAGAATCAGAACAGTGAAAGAGCGGTGAGTTTTCGTCCTTATCCGAGAAGACTAAAATATCTAACCATTTGTAGATGTTACAACAAAGGCAGCCAATCTCCTAAGTTATTTCAAGACCCTGAGTGTTGGTCCGGCCGGGGTTTGAACCCTCGAGCTCCCGATCAGCTGACCGGCGCTTGTCCAATTGAGCTAACCGAGGGGCGGTTAATGACTAATTCTCACGAGCTAAGCCGCCTTAGCCTCGACCTCTAAGTAGTTTTGGTTGTTGTTGTTGTTGTCGTTACCACATGCATGCAAATAACACAGCAGTTTAAAAAGGAGGACGAGAAGGACCAAAGGTGGTTCAACACGTACATGAATCGCACAGCTCCTGATTGGCTATACAAAAATCTGTTAAGGACAATTAGAAGCAAGACATACAAATGCTTGTGGAACTGGTTGCGTACGAAGGAGCTGCTCAGGGGCTCTCCCGTTGCTTTTTTTTTTAACTTTGCCCGATAGTTCGTCTAAATTATCTACCCATTGCTTTCGCAGCAGGTTTGCCAGCTTAACCTACCGGAAGAGGTAGCTGATAACCGACGTCGTTCTTATTGGTATCCATGTGATTGTGATGTGCCTTAAATTCGCGAAAGATAATTCGATTGTTGACATTACATTCACAGAATGACTAGTAATCAGTTTTGGTACCGAAGACGAACATCAGCAGCCGGAGTATTCACGAGAGGGATCGGAAAGTACTTACCTGTCCTCTGACAAAGTGTCGCTGTGAGAATGCCAACGCATGCTGAGTCCTGTTCTCCAACTGATATCGGGTTGCCAAGGTTACAATTCTCGTGTCACGGTATCGGCCCTGCCCAAAACGCACGTCAATACCGATGTCGTATACCCTACATAAACAACAACAGAGAGCGGAATAAGGTGTTAGAAAATTAACAGCTACCGCTTTAAACAAAAACATTTAGCTAGCAGCAAATCGAACCATTATAAAAATGGCGTTCTATAATTCTACTAAAACTGTGAAATTTATAACAGAAATTCTCACAGTCAATGAAATAGAGAACCATTATACAACTGACCCAAAAAGCTCTACAAAAGTACTTTGTTGGTTACTTGAGCAAATTTGAAACGCTTGAAGGAACTCAAATTGTGGAAAAAAACCTATGACTAAATTCTTTCGATCATCCCGAGAGATTGAAAACTATGCTTATGCAAAATTTCGGAGGGAAAAGAACAAAAAGTACTTTGGTATTTTCATATAACGTCTCTTTAAGTTGTCACCCTAGCTGGGCCAAAGATGTCGCATGGTCCCATTATCTGTTGAAATATTTAGACATTTTACACATTTTGCTTTCAGAATTCGCCAGTAAAGCTACGATGGAGGAAAAATTCTAAGGGCTCGCTATTTTCCTTATGTGAATGCCTGATGATCATTGTTACGTGGCAAAGTCCTCGGATGGCCGATTTAGTTTACAATGGAGAAGGAAGAGACTTTGATCGGCTACAAGAAGGGAAGTATATTTTGTATGAGCAGACTACAAATATCTGCTATTTTAGTAAAATCCAACTAGTGGTCTTTTATCAATGCTGCGTTCTGATTGGTTGAGCTACTACTAGGCTATATGTTATAGCCTAGTAGGGAAAAGCGCATGCTTTTTGGCGGCAAAAAAGGATTAAAGTCTAGCTTTTAACTAGCTAAAATTTTTTCATTCTCGATATTTTTGACCAACTAGTTGGATTTTACTAAAACAATTATTCCTCTCGCCCTCATGGCCTCTGAGTCAATAGCCCATGAGGCCGAATATTGACTCAGAGCCCATTCCGGCTCGAGGAATAATTGTTAAATAGTTGAGCCTGAGGTCAAGGAACAGCGAAGAAATTCATCAAAATTCAGCCATTTGAAATTGGTCCCTAAAATGAATGAAAAAGGAGGGAAAAACCTGCTTAAGACAGGGAAGAAACATTAATTATCTCAAAACATGCAAGAGAGGGCATGGATGGCCAAAACTGAAGAAGATTAAAATGGACTTCAATTCGTTTTTTTCTTTCCCTTTTTCTATAGTGTTCAGCCTACAGTTTTTCAAAGATTATATCTGTTGATTGTTACTGTTTAAAGGGAACCTCCACTTCAACAAAAAGATAACTTTAAATCACAGGAAATAACTGTTACAGTCAAGTCAATCTAAAATATTTTTAAAGAAAGCGTTTGCATCCGAAAGAAATAACTTTTAGATTCGCCTATTTTTGTTTTCAAATTTTGCGGGCGTCGCCATCTTGAATAATTGTGACGTGTAATGGTTGCCCTATTGTTATTAAACAAAAGCTCTTTGTGTCAGAACAATAGAGCAACCGTAACACGTCACAATTAGTCAAGATGGCGGCGCCCGCGAAATTTGAAAGTGAAAATAAGCGATTCTAAAATTCACTTTTCCTGATATAAACACTTTTTTTAAGACAAATTTCAAACAAATTTGTTTATCAACATAATTTTATTCGATTTAAACTTATTCTGTAGTAAGAGTGGAGGTTCCCTTTAAAGTTAATGGTTTTAAGTTACAACGCCTGGGAGTCTTATTTTTTATTATTATGAAGCTAGGATTTGTGATCTAGAGACAATACTTTCTCTAAGTAAATTTATCTTTATTTTTCCCACCAAATAAATAATAAAATCGATCAAAATCGGCTAAACTACCGCGACATTGTCACTTGAACAGGATTGAATGAAATAAAAATGAGTCCCTGCCTCTTTTGTACCACGCAATGAGCCAAGGATACGAGCTATTAAAAAAGTGCGACGTATGCTTTAAGTTTACCAGTAACCAAGAAAAGGCACGGAAGGTATAATAACAAAAGTTAAATATAGCAGTCATAATGTTAAGAAATTTTACGGTACTTTTTATTTTAATGGCTAATAAGTTAAATTTAATTTTAATTTAGAGTTAAGATATTTTATCTTTTAAATCTTTTGAGCGATTTATAGGTAACTTTTTTAACAGATTACGCAAGTTTCGTTTAACGGAAAAGTTGAAGTTTACAAGGTTATTCAACGCGTTTTTGTAGTATACCAAGAATACAATAATAAGACAGCGAAGAAACTTCTGATTTCTGACACAAATTGTCTCATCAACAGCAGCTCTATTGAAGTCTTCCTATTCTACAAGCAGTAAAATTCTAACGAAGTTCTCCCTCAAATTTGTAAATCTATTTCGACGCATGTTGCCGATAAAACATAGTCCAACATGACAAAATCAAAGTTTTTAACCAATCACACAGCCCTGAGTTACATTACCATTTTTTAGACGTGACAAGGGACACAGACTCGCTAGGGAGGTTTGCACGAAACAGACATGCGCCCTGCACGTGCACCTCCAACTGACGGCTCACTGCGCTGCTGGACACTTTGCATGCGGGCGCGGCAACACTTGCGGCTTTTCCTTTCTTTTTTGTTCTGTAATACAAGGATTGAAGGTGACAAGGGACTCAATTATGGTTTCTATGACAACCAGAATTACGTTTTAGTTTTTCGACATCACTAAAGTTTCTATGCAATAACCAAGATATCAGTCTCAGTAAACCCTGTGGTTCCGGTCTCCATCACAACAATGCCGAGGTGTTATGGATGCCTTACCTTAAGTGAACGCAGGCATCGAAAAATGTCGATTTTTTGCCAATGTGGATGACTCGAAAATGAAGCGAAGTAATATTTTTGGCTATAAAAATTTAACCAATGATTTTTCCCGCTAATAATTGCTCGACAACTTCACTGAGCGGGGCTTGAGTTTTTCTTTTTTTCCTTTCTTATCCTCGTTTTGCCTTCGGTTGGTTTTTTGTTTGTTTTGTTAAACATCCGCTTAATATGTAACGATAGATCACAACCTAGCCTGGGAAATTTAACGTCAGAGAAAGGAGCGTAGAAATTCCATCCTGGTAGCGCATCACTACCCATATCTGGGCAATGCGTCAGATTGGATGAAGTATATTTTTTAACCAATCAGAAGCACGACACAGTTCTAAGAGACTACCACGCCATCAGTTTGGAATTTCTGCACACATTTCTCAGATGTCACTTGGTGGAATAACCAGTGGTGGCGGCACAAAATGTTGGCTGTTTCATTAGGCTAATCACAACCTTGTTTCAGCCTAGCTTATTCTTTATTTATTGTTTAGGTTTAGATTTTTTTCTTATTTTTCGTCTGAGTTGTTTATTTATTTCGCACAGTCTGTTTGTTTACTTGTACACTATGAATCTTAAAGTTTATTCATGTAATCTTTAGAACTGGTTAGACTTGCTGCAGTCTTTATTTCTAGCATTTCCATCACGAAATTTTTAGTTAAATTTTTAACAATTAGTTTATTCGCTAACTTGATCATTTATGGAAGTTCACTTGTTATTGACGAATATATCTATTTATTTATCTTTTTATTTGTTCACCTATTTTGCATTTTATTCGCTTAGATCCAAAAAAAAAAAAGAAAAAACAAAACAAAACAAAACGGTGAACTGTGGGCATAATTGAGAAGCATAATAAGTAAGTTTACTTTACCACACAATCGTTTGTCTGATCTATGGAATATAAATTTCAGGTTAAGCGGCTTTAACCATCAATATTATCTTAGTTCTTACTGATAAACGGAGAGTGAATCAGTCAGTCTTTATCACGTACTTATCTGGGCGGCTTCCACCTTGTCTGGCATGTACACGCTTAAACTCACGGGGGCTATCCAAGGAAAACGAATTACTCCTGCAAAAAGATAACGCTCTCAAAAACTGTTACATAAAGACAACGGTGAGCACGCAATCAAAAACTTCTAAGTACTTTGCAAGTGAGTAGTTTTTTTATCACTGCAACAATAAAGGTGAGCAGCTTTGCTTATTATAAAAAAGCTAATCTTTTAGCTGTTTTGTGTCTTCGCGCATATATATATTTTTTATTTTCAAGCCTTTTGATGTGTTTGTGATTGCCAAATCAATTCGCTCCAATGACCTGCAAGCGCTCGAAGCCTCAGCTTTTCAACCTTTTCACCGCGTAAAAGTGACTATCAATTCAATAAGAAGAGCGGAAGTAATACACATACCAAACAGGCTTTCCACTTCCGGGTTGATAGCCGCGACCAATTCGCATTTGACATCTACAAAGAATAGATTGGAAGCACGTCATCATGACATCACTCGCACGCAGACAGTGAGTGTTGTGACATGTTGTGAGTAGAACGGCTGCTAACAATCACACCTCATGACAATTACACCGCCTAATTTCTTGTGCGGAACCTCATTTCTAGACAGTATGTACTGTTGAGAAAACTAAAAGAATAGAAAGCGCCATTTGCGTGAGAAACAGTTGTGAGTTGAGTCGAGGGTTTTGTACATACCTACAACGATAAGGACTTAGAACGAACTATAAAGGTCTCCAACGGTACGGCATCCAAGCAAGTTACTAAGACTGAGAAGGGCTTATTGAAGTAACACAAAAAAACGGATTTTGGAGTGCCCCCTCTGGCCACAACAACTCTAAGATACATTGTGAAAAAATACACTCGGCATGAAACGAAAACATTTCTAAATACTGAACAAAAACGCTGTTTATTTTACGTACCTTGCTGGGGCATCCCTGTCAGAGAATGAAAAAAGCAATGGAGTCAGGCTGCGGGCCATCTCATGTTCATCAAACTGACCGGCCATATCATGAGGCACAGCATCTTGTTTGAACACCAGTGGGATCCCTGTGTTGTTGATTATCCAGTAAGGGGCATATATTGATACCTGTTCAGTTGAAATGATGGTATACGTTGTTAAAAATGCAATCAAATAGCAATTTTGCAATTGCTGTATTACACGGTTTAGCTACAGGAAATGTTTATTTTGGGGCAGATGACAGTGCTTGATAGTGGCATAAGCAATTACAAAGGCAATGGCAATAAAAGCAACAGCAAAGTGTAAAAATCGTGAGTAGCCCCAATTAGGGTGAGTTTGACTTGGTTAGGCTTGATTACCAGCCGCTATTCGGGAAGCGAGCCCGCGCTCTTCCTTCTTCTCGGGGTGGACCGAGAAAGCGGCGGAAATCGAGCCAGGACTGAGCTGAATCTCGGAATAAGATCTTACAAAGTCTCTAGTTAAGGAACTCAATCGCAATTATTAGGGTACCTTTCATATTTCAGATAATTTTACCTGATCAAGTGCAGCAAAGCCCAGGCAGTCTTCTATTTACTAGGGAGCTTAACCAACGACGACAGCGACGTCATCGAGAAGGGCAAAAAAGCAATACGTTTGGACTGGCAAAAAAACAATTGTGCAAATGATCACGCTTTTTTGTACATTTCTTTGCCGTCACTGCACGACTACGACGTGAAAATGCCTAATTTCATGTTTTGTGGAGGAGATGAACACAAGACAGAGACTTCCTTTTTCTTTTCTTGAACTTCGATATAGTCTTTTAGAATACAAATCCAGAAAAATTTGCCTGCATTTGATGAACTTGAACGAGACGAAATAAGCTCGATAAAGATTGAAGCAGCGCGAATTCACTTTTTAAGTCTCGTTTTCGTAGCTGTCGCCGTCGTTGTTGCGTAAGCTTTCTATTTCCAACGAATTGAAAAAAGTTGCGCGATAAATTACTCTCGTTTTTTTGTATCAAATCACTTACACGAAGGGATCCTCCAGGCTTGACAGACACCTTGACATTAACAATAAGAGATCGCCTCTTTGTATCTTGTAACTCCACGTAAATAATGTCAGAAGACATCATGCTCAATCGCCTTGAAATGCGAATGTTATCACAATACATAAAGTTCTCGATGCTGATACCAAAATCGAGTGCCTTCTCCGGGTCTGCCTGTTGACAAAAAGTCATCTACGTGTAAGAAAGCGATGCTACACAATATTCGCTCTATTGTTAATAAAAGTCTGAGGCTTTTCAACGGGAGAAGCCTCATTCCGTGAGGTGTCTTAACAACCTGCATTTCAATTTTATTCGGCAAAAAAATTCAAGATACAAAAGACCTGTTCAGAGGCTAGATGGAACTTGTCGAGGACAACAGTTAAAATTTAAATTTACCCAAAATAATCAAAGCAGACTAGCTACCTGATAACCTTGACTCTTTCACTGCTAATAGCAGCAAAACAAAAAAAATAATTAAATAAAATACAATTCAATTCATGAAAAATCTTGCATAATAAACAATAGAACTACACAAAATTTTTACCAAAAAGGTTTCATTATGGAGTGACGAATTAAAATATCGCCATAAGGTGGTTAAGCAATGAAAGGCTGAATATTTAAAGTAAATTTCAGTTAATTTCCAGTCTTTTATGTAACGCAAGTGTAAAATAAAGAACGATTTGGAGGTAGCACATCTATAAAGTGGTTCTTCGTCTACCTGATTCCTGGTCGAATTGGAATTTGGAAATGTTTTTATTTGAGGAGGGGTGAAAACCGGAATACCCGGAGAAAAACCTCTCGGAGCAAAGGAGAGAACCAGCAATAAAGTCAACCCACATATGGTGTCGACGTGGGAATCTGAACCCGGGCCACATTGGTGGGAGGCGAGCGCTCCTCACCACTGCGCCATCCCTTGCTCCCCAAATGTAAAAGGGCAAAACATGGTACTTACAGTGTATAAAGGCACAGACTTTCCAGCTTTGATGTTTCCCTTAGCTGGGGTGTTCTTGACTTGGTAGCTCAAATCACATGGTAACAGGTTTACCAACATTACTGGGTACATTATGGTCAGGGTGTGAGCTGGCTGGGTCATTAAATTCAGGCCCTTCGAAGGAGCACCCTCGTGTACAGGCACATCCTCAGGATAACCTTCTCTCTTCACTGCCACACAGAATCTGGTTGTTATAACAACAACGTCTCATTAGAGAGCCTTAGATTCTGAGACAAGGACGACTACGAGTACGAGATTTTCTCAATACTGAGTACTGCTCACTCGTGAACCAGCGTCATTTTGGCGGGAAAAAGTGATAGCAGTCGTCATTCTACTGAGAGTTTTAGCAAGAATATCGTAGTGGTGGGAACAAGTTATCAAAATGAAAGAAGTTTTATCATTCTGCTATTGGGAGAGGGCTTAACCACCCTCAGTACAAATAACCGTACTAACCTTCGTGGTGAAAAACAGTGAAATAAAGCTTTCCGGAGCGCTTTTTCTTACGTTAAATCTCCTACTCGTCGTCGTTGTCGCCCTCAAATCTAAAGCTCTCCAATTTCAGGTTAAGCGAAAAAAAACCTTCGAAAGCGATCATTCACACTATTTGAAAACATAAGGGTGGGCAATGATTTGAGCTCGGGACCACCGAAAGCAAATCAAGCTAGTGGTAAGGGCGTGACTTGAACACGGGCAAGACCTGAGCTTTCTTACTACTAGATTACGCTGTCTCCCAATGTTATTTTTCATACACTGAACAGACGACACTTTATACCTAAATCTCCTTCCAGACTCTGCAGCTGTTGAAGCAGGATAACACTCCCGACTGTACCCCGTTGCAGTGTGACTTCTTATAACGCCTTTCCATTCCAGTGGCTGAGAGCAAAACCCCACCCCAACCCCATGGGGTCTCAGGTAGAGTTTCCAAGAGGTACATCGTAATGGTATTGCAACTGAGGCCTCTGGGGGGAGGACTGGAAGAGTTGAAGCCCCTGAAAACGAAGAAAAAAGGTCAATAAAAGGTTAAAAGAAAACATTCTCTTCTCAGAAAATATTATTGAAATACAACGAGATTAGATTAGCAGAAATACCTATCCCTACCTTACTTTGTCTTTGGTATTTAATTACGAGAACAATCAATTTAGGTTTCTGGTTAACTGACCACCCACCCTTCCCCTAACATTAACTCTTACTTTTCACTTAAGGTAAAATTGTGACTTACAGGGGGAGGGGTAGGTGGTCAGTTACAAACACACGAGCATCTTTTCGTCCGATCAATTGAGGCTTCTGAATGACTGATTACCTACCCCTCCCCTAAGTCAACATTAACTCTTACTTTTCACTTAGGGCAAAATTGTGACTTAGGGAAGGGGTAGGCGGTCAGTTTCCCGGAAAACTCTATTGACCCATAAGCCCAATTTTGTTCATCACTATTTCTCTGACTGCAGGTGTTCAAAAAGGAAAAAAAAATAGCCACTGAACAAACCATGTGATGATGTGAGTCCCTGAAGCTTTATCTCCACAGGTAAGTCCATCTTGTTTTTGATCATTAGAGCTGATCTCAGAGTGACTACCTTACGGGCTCGTCCCTCCAAGCTAACATCAAATACTACTCGCGCCGACTGAAGATCACTCACCTAAGACAGGATTAACAATATAAACAAGCGACCGACTTTTTTCAGAAAATAATAATTAAAAAAAATAATAATTACCTGAAACAGAACTCATTTCCCATTCTATCTGATACCAGAAACGGTTGACAATTTAAAGGCTTCCACTATAATGTGTGAGTATGAGTAAAGCAAACAACTGCTTGAAAAAAGAGGAAAAAAACCAGGGTGTCCTGCTCGTGTTCTATACCAAGCTTCTGGAACATTACAACGTCTTGCAATCGCAAGTAAATTGTGATTAAATCGAAGAAATTCACGCGAAGGTAAAGTAAAGTAGCGATTTGAGATCGAAAACTACAGGAGTTTGAATTTGAGTACTATGTAAAAAATACATGTCCTCAACAATAATATGCCATTTCACAGTTGTGTATTGAGTCTAATTGACTTGAATGGAAGCGAAGAGGAGACGTCACTCTGTTTGGAAATGACTCAAATATTTAAACATATATGTATGACACCGCTTGCCCCGCTTCTATTCAGCATACAACTGTACATTTGCCAATAAGGTGCACAAGAACACAAAGTAGATTAAGATCACTTGATTGTCTGGTCTTTTACCATGGATGCAGTGTCAAATTTCTGAGGTCGTGCCTGCCTGAAGAATGTACCAACTCTATCGACAGAGACTGGGGAGAGTGCACCCCATCCCTCCACTTGCACAACAACCTGATGTATGTTGAGCTCATGAGTTTCCTACGACAACAATAAAATACAGTTAGTTCCAGTTTCACTTCTTTCAGGAACTCAGATTGCGACCAGAAAGATTAAAGGGATTGATCTTTTGAACCTTGTGTAAGAGCCAAATCAAATCAGCATGAACTAATGAGGAAAAAAGTGAGTGGAGAAATTGATGGGATGGATGGATGGGATGGATAAATGGATGGGATGGGATGGATGGGATGTAATAGGATGGAAGGATGGGATGGATGAATGGATGGTATGGGATGGGATCGCATGGGATGGGATGGATGAGATGGGATGGGATGGGATGGGATGGATGGATAATACCCTGTTTTGAAAAGTTGTCTCTGCCCATTGGTTAACGACACACATTCAGTCTCCAAAAGTGACACTACTGCGCAACGTACAGGAGAGATACGGTGGAACCTCACAGTAATGTTCCAACTCATCAACTGACATTTTTCCAGAAGGTCGCCATCCCAGGAACTCACCTTATGTCGCTGTTTCTCTCCCGATGTAAATTCAAAAGGCGCCTCGCCACCTGAAGGAACCTCTTTCCACTCAGATATCCTGCCTGAACCAGCCCCAGGAATACCAGGAAGTGCTTGTCCTGTGTTCGCCAAAATTACCTTCGACAGAGTTGTTGTTACTGTCTTAAACCACAAGGTACATCCTGCAATTTAATAAACGATGTAAGCATGAAGACGGTTAGTTTTTGTGCTTACAATTTGCAGAATAAACGCCTTGTGTAATGTGCTGTCTAAACGTTCACCAAAGTAACACGGATACTTTCCAACAATTATGCTTTATGGACCAAGCTTGTTCGGTCACAAGATGGCTCGATATTGGCCATTTTCGTTCTTGCGTTTTTTTTCGTCTCGGTCCGTAAACTGCAAACGAAAAAGAGCCAGGCTAGTAACGAGCCATCTTGACCGAATCAGCTTGATCTGCAAAGGATTTATTATAATGGCCAAAAAAAAATCTTTCCTTGTGGGACACAGCAGGCAATCAATTTAGATTTAACTCCAGAAAAATCGGAAACATTTTACAAAATCGATTAGATGGAATAAATGAGCGATGAATTTTGAAACATCGCAATTCACTCTGCAAGAGACGTTTTCGCCACCGTTGTTGCCGTGATTGCTTAAGCTCCCTATTTCCCGAGGTTTGTTTAAGCCTCTTAACCCTTTAGGTCCCAAGAGTGACCAACATCAATTTTCTCCTAACAACATCAGCAGATCATCAAGAGTAAAAGGTTATGAGAGTTACTAAATTGATTACTAAAGGGAGAAAGCTTTGATCTTAAACCAAATTTTCTCAACTATTCTTAAAAGAAATGTATGGAGACCAGTCTGGAGAATTTGTGCTTAAATGTTTAAAAGTAAAAAACGGTCACTTTTTTCAAAGTCATAGCCACACTACTGATTACCACAAAACACACCTGTTTGATTTCTAAGTAAAAATGGGACAAATGGTGAACGGCGCCGAGGAAAGCCAGAGCCCGATGACCATAATGATGCGCTAGACTCTGGTCTACTGGTCGGGCTGCTTAGTGGACTATCAGTGCTCATGCTGCGGTTTAGACTGTCATGTCTACTGCCACTCATGCTTGAAGACACAGATGGGAGACTGGGCGTTCCTGAAGTGGCAACTGCGGACACAGGGGATGGATCTGGTCTGTAGTAATCTTCGGACCAACTTGCCATCGTGTGGTTTATCATGTTGATAAGTGTAGTAGTCACTGTGACATCAAGACGATCAGGAGCTGAAAATGAAGGGAGGAATTGCAAAGAAAAAATGACACGATGTGCAAAGAAAAAATTACAATGTCTAGTACAAAAGAAAACAGGGTTAGTCATAAAAGACCCTTAAGATTCTAGGAAGAGAACGAGATTTTCTCAATATTAGGTGGAGCGCATGCGTTAACCAGCGTCATTTTGTCGAAAAAACGTAATAGCCGTCTTCATTCTGTTACGGGCTGTTACAATGTTGGAAAATGTCGTAGTGATAGAAACAAGTTTGTCAAATGTTAGCAGTTTTATCGTTTTGCGAGCGGGAAAGGGCTTACCCCCAATAAGAAATAACCTTGTTAACATCACTGGTGAAAGAAAGTGAAATGAAACTTTCCGGGATGTCTACCTTATAACAATACGCGAGAAAAAAGGATCTTTATACGTTTCTGGGAAACTGCCCACTTACGCTCCCCTAAGCCTACATTTTGCCTTAAGTGAGCAGAAAGGGTTACTGTTGGCCTAGGGGAGGGGTAGGTGGGCAGTTTCCCAGAGACGTATAATGATCCAAAACAACTTTAAGTCAAATCTCGTCGTCCCCGTAGTCGTCCACCGTCACGCTCGTATCTTAAGACCTCTGTTAAGAAGACGGAACAGAGAATTCACAGGAGTTGTATCACGCAATCCAACAAAAATTAAATCAGTGGGAACTGCCATCTAAACGTTACAAAGAGTTAACAACTGCGTCGCTGAGTGGAGGTGGGTGCCCGGGATGTCCAGGGGCTTCCACCTATGGCACGGCCAGCCCCTAGACAGAGTTACGCCCCCATGGCTGGCAAACCCGCGCCCTCCAGCCATGAGCCCCCACGCCAAAGGAACCAGGCACCCGTCACACTGATTAACAGTGGAAGAATTAAGGGGGGGGAGGGATGGGGGTAAAAGAATGATCCAAAGGCTAAACGAAGAGAATTGCCGCCACGAAAACACTGTACTGAGCACATGGAAGTGATGCAAGCAAGGCTGACCGCGCTTGAGCCAAACGACCGACCGCTGACCACGCTCGCGCTCCTTGTTGTTAACTCTGTTAAATAAATATTTATTTAACCTCATTTAACAACTGCGTCGCTGAGTGGAGGTGGGTGCCCGGGATGTCCAGGGGCTTCCACCTATGGCACGGCCAGCCCCTAGACAGAGTTACGCCCCCATGGCTGGCAAACCCGCGCCCTCCAGCCATGAGCCCCCACGCCAAGCCGAAGGGACCTCCGAGCTGAATACCAAGCTCGGAGAGAAGGGGCTCATGGCTGGGAGAAGCCTGAGCCCCAATACACCAAACCCGGAGGCACCCACCTATGCTGAGCATGAAGAAGCATACAAAGGCGAAACAAAACCCAAGTGCCCAAACGTACAACACAAACGCCCCATAAATGCCACAAATGCTGTCAAACGCCACCAACGTTCAACCCAACGCCCCTAAATACTACCAACTCTGTGAACACCACAAGGTGCCCTAATGCCCCATAAACACTACAAACACTCTGAATGCCACAAAAATGACTGGCCCAAATGCCTCAAACGCTACAAAAACTGTGAACTTGACGAACGTCCATCCCAAACACTTCCTAAACAATACAAACACCGTAAACGCCACAAAAACGTTCACCGCCAACACTACTAACGCTGTAAACGCCTGACGGGTCCCACCCTAATCCCCCATAAACACTACTAACACTCTAAACGCCACCAAAAGGACCAGCCCGAACGCCTTATAGGCGCTAACAAATGCTGTGAAAGCCACAAATGTCCAACCCCAACACTCCATAAACAATAAAAACACTGTAACGCCACAAGGGTCCCACCCCAATGCCCTATAAACGTTACAAACACTCTAAATGCCACAAAAAGGCGACCAGCCCAAACGCCTCATAAGCGCTACAAACGCTGCGAACGCCACAAGGACCCCACCCCAATGCCCCATAAACGCTACACGCCACGCCACGCCACGCCACGCCACGCCACGCCACGCCACGCCACACAATAAATAAATAAATAAAGTAAAGTAAACAGACCAGCCTGCATGCCTCATAAACGCTACAAACGCTGAAAAGCGCCACAAACGTCCAACCCCAATGCCCAATAAAAACCTAACTGACACTGTAAACGCCACAAGGGTCCCACCCCAATGCCCCATAAACGATACGCGCAACGCCACGCAAAAAATAAACAAATAAATAAATACAATAAATAGACCAGCCTGCATCCCTCATATACACTACAAACGCTGAAAAGCCCCACAAATGTCCAACCCCAATGCCCAATAAAAAACTACTAACACTGTAAACGCCACAAGGGTCCCACCCTAATGCCCCATAAACGTTACAAACACTTTAAATGCCACAAAAAGGCGACCAGCCCAAACGCCTCATAAACGCTACAAACGCTGTGAACGCCACAAGGGCCCCACCCCAATGTCCGATAAACGTTACACGCAACGCCACGTCACAATAAATAAATAAATAAAGTAAACAGACCAGCCTGCATGCCTCATAAACGCTACAAACGCTGAAAGGGGCCACAAACGTCCAACCCCAACGTCCAATAAAACCTAACTGACACAGGAAACGCCACAACGGTCCCACCCCAATGCCCCATAAACGCTACAAGCAACGCCACGCAAAAATAAATAAATAAATAAATAAAATAAAAAGACAGCCTGCATCCCTCATATACACTACAAACGCTGAAAAACCCCACAAATGTCCAACCCCAATGCCCACTAAAAAACTACTAACACTGTAAACGCCACAAGGGTCCCGCCCCAATGCCCCCTAAACGCTGCAAACACTCGAAATGGGCAAAAAAAATGACCAGCCCAAACGCCTGATAAACGCTATAATATTTTTATAGTACTAGTAAAACTAGTAAAACTATTTACTACACAAATACTAGAAGGAATGTGGGTGCCTGGAGCATCCAAGGGGCTCCACTGTGGTCAGCCAGCCCCTAGAATCCTCTTCCAGGGCTGGCAAATCCTCGCAACCCAGCCATGGCCCCCCTTTCCAGACACCCGTCACACTGAAGAAAGATGAAACAGTGGAAGGAGGCATAGAGGGTTGCGTGGAGGGGGGGGACGCTAAAAAACAACCGCTTTCAAAAGCTTCACGCTGACGCAACCGCCACAAAAACCACTCAATTTGATACTCCTGGCTGTGACGAAGCAGCAACGTTCCATGTGAGTTTGACCGTTGACCGGCGGAGACTGATAAGCTTGTAGCAGACAACTTAACTGAAAGCCCGCTAAACTTGAGCTCGAGGACTGCGTAACCGCTAAGCTCGAGGACCGCTTCACCGCTAAGCTCGAGGACTGCTTTACCACTAAGCTCGAGGACCGCTTCATCGCTAAGCTCGAGGACTGCTTCACCGCTAAGCCCGTGGACGGCAGCACCGCTAAGCTCAGGGACTGCTTCACCGCTAAGCTGGTGGACCGCTTCACCGCTAAGCTCGTGGACGGCTTCACCGCTATAAAGCTCGTGGACGGCTTCACCGCTAAGCTCGTGGACGGCTGCACCGCTAAGCTCAGGGACTGCTTCACCGCTAAGCGGGTGGACCGCTTCACCGCTAAACTCGAGGACCGCTTCACCGCTAAACTCGTGAACCGCTTTACCGCTAAGCTCGAGGACTGTTTCACCGCTAAGCTCGGGGACCGCTTCACCTTTAAGCTCGTGAATCGCTTGACCGCTACTAAGATTGTGGACAGCTTATCTGCCAAGCTCGAGGACTGCTTCACTGCTAAGCTCGAGGACTGCTTCACCGCTAAGCTCGTGGACCGCTTTACCGCTAAGCTCGAGGACTGCTTCGCCGCTAAACTCGAGGACCGCTTCACCGCTAAGCTCGAGGACTGCTTTACCGCTAAGCTTGAGGATCGCTTCAGCTTTAAGCTCGCGAATCGCTTGACCGTACCGCTAAGCTCGTGGACCGCCAGACGGCTAAGCTCATGGACGGCTACACCGCTAAAATCGTGAGCCGCGTGACCGCTAAGCAAGTAAACGCAAGACCACAGTCATTCCACGAAAACTCAGCAACCAAGCTGTTGTCGAACTATCCAGCCATGAAGTATCAGACAACACACCTAAGCAAAAGCCATGGCCAAACGCAGGGACGAACGTCCCGCCAACATTGTCGCCCCAAATTACGAAGAAACAACAATTGCACAAAATCCAGGCGTAGCCGAAGAAAACGTAGAAAGAAAAACGGTTTGACCGCAACAGCAAAAAACAGCGAGAATCAGGCGGTAAAAGAATGATCCAAAGGCTAAACGAAGAGAATTGCCGCCACGAAAACACTGTACTGAGCACATGGAAGTGATGCAAGCAAGGCTGACCGCGCTTGAGCCAAACGACCGACCGCTGACCACGCTCGCGCTCCTTGTTGTTAACTCTGTTAAATAAATATTTATTTAACCTCATTTATAAGTAACATAGCAAATACAAAAGACTGCACGTTTTCTTCGATCAGATTTTTTACACAAAACAGTCGTTGGATGCCCGTCATACGTTCCGCTTTAAACTCAGATGAGGGCATGCCATAACGTTACAGGCACAGGTATCTAAAACTTACCATCCAACTTTGCGAGAAACCTGCCTTTTGACGTTTGCGTCCTATGTTGCTCCTGCCAGTGAAGCTGGCATCTATAATGTAAGACATGTTTACAAGTTAACAGCTACAAACACTACAATAATTACTGGAGGAGGAATTGGACTGCACAACAAAACAATGGACACATGTTACTTCTTAATACCAGAGGCATAAAACATTTACTCCAAAATATTTCACTCAATAAATACATCGAATTTTCATAGTATCAATCTTGCAAAATCAACTAATGTAATATGTATTTTGAGGGTGGAATCAACAATCTGGAGCAAGAAAAAAAACTCAATTTTTTCCAACGCACTTTAACAGAGCTACCAGTTTGGTAGAAAAAGAACAATTGTCCTCACTTATTTAAAAACACGATCATGTCGAATTACGCAGTTCGCTTTGTTTCACGGAACCGGCGGAGGCTCGTCAGGTAGGAGACATTCTTAAAGAACCGTGAAAGTGATTAGTAACCACACTGGAAGGTCTTAATTTTAGCCATGTACAGCCAAAAACTAACGAAATTCTACAAAAAAAAAACCGGGGTAGATAACGCAAAGCAAATAAACTTAAGGGTGAAAACGGGTCGATGAAGACGGAACTAGGTTTAAAGTTGTGTCTCACTAGCTGAGAAAGCGGGGATGAGTTTTTCAGCCAGTCAATGTAGAGAAGCAATGTTATCAGACCTTGACTAATTAACTATTAACGTTCAAGATGAAGCTAGTTCATGACATGACACTCCACAGGTACGCCAAGCGTACAAGTCAGAATCGTTGTATAACCAAGAAATATCAGAAGGGTTTGCATGGGGATTTCAGCGTTCGAACGGCCGAGCACGGAGCTTCGTGGAAAAGCATCGTCGACGGTCCTCGATGGATGGATAACGATCGCTGAAATCTCCATACCAACCCTTATAATACTACTTGGTTATGCAACAACGATTCTCACTCGTGAGCTTGGGGTACCTGTGCAAACTCTGGTAGAAAATGGTCTAAGCTCTCCAAGATCGATACAATCCTGACATTAATGAAGTCGTGATAACAAAGCTAGAGAATCAGGCGTTTCTAGTGGGGGTGGGAATCGTCTCCCCCTAAGGAAGGCCTGATACACAGTCTAGTGATGACAGAGATGCGCGACTCACTTCCAAGGTTCAAGAAAAGGCTCCCAGTCGGATACATTCCTGTTGTAGTATTGGACTATCAGAGTACAGTGCGCTGCACCATCACCCGTGGATTGTAGATCATGCCAAAAGTACAAATCTATAACACAATGTACAAGTGCATTAGACGTTTTTCAACAACTGCGCAGCTTTTAGCGCCCACATGGTCGGGAGCTACCGTCAAATGTTTTTTGACGGTCTCCGGTACATGATTTTACCAACACGTCGCCAGAAAAGGACATACAAAATTTATCGTCAACAACATTCGATTGTCTACACTCTTGTAGGTCAAAGGAGTGACAACAAAAAGTTCATTAATGTTCTTAATTCGGGAAATCTGGCACGGAAAACATTTGCTGAACAGGCATGAAAAACTGTGACAACAAGTTGGAGAAAAGCTTGTAAATGACAATACACGTCAGTGTAAATGACTCTAAAAGGGCAGTTTTCAAGAAAAAGCCAAGAATTTATGGAAACATTTAGCGTAATCCGTCGCCAGATGTTAGTTATTGTCGGAGAACGTACTTGGAACTAAATTGACCCAACTGTCAGAGACTAAACATTCTGAGCCGTATATACTAGTGCAGAAAAATTGACAACGACAGTATTAAGGAATTCCTGCTCGTCTAAAACAGCTTAACAACGACAGTATACATACTCTGTGTGCTAAACTCAATGAGCGGTACGTCACTGTCTCCGCAGTCGTCGATCAGACAGACACAGACAGTTCCTGCTCGCACCTGAAAGGACAAAATGATATTGTATCACCTCAGACAACATTTCAAATTCTAAGCGTGTGATTCATTGGGAAAAAAAATGAAGTTCCATGATGTCACATAACACGAGGAAAACGAAAACTGGAAAATGTAACTAATTTAAATTAGCATAAAAGCCACCGTATGCCTAATGATGGACTAGTCAATAAATTGCAAAAGGCTTAGGGTGGATAATAGAGAAATTTCGCAGCGTCGCTATAGAATAGGAGGGTGGGCAAACTTACTTGAATCTAAGTTGAGTAGACTTGCGAGAAGACAGCAAATTTGTTTCCAAGGGCGTATAAAAGGCATGGAGAGTTTCCCTGGGGACAGCTATGGCCAATAGAGTGCATTTTACGGTAGCACGCGATTATCAAATTGATTAACTCGTCATACCGCAGCGGCTTTACCGAGAATGAGAATGGGACATTTTTTCGCAGCGTGCACTGCAAGTTCGAAGAAAAAGAGGAAGATATAACCATAACGCACCCAGCTGCGTTGCTATTGCAAAAACCGTGTGTTTTGACCACGTTACAACAGGATGCACTACTTATGACAGAGTTTTGATTGAATCTCGAACGAATATACTACTATTGGCTTTGCAAATTACCTCAAAACCAGCAAACTGCCATCCTTGCGCACCGCCCTGTTGTTGGGACGTCTGCGCTTGGTGCACAGGGGTGGCATTTTCGAGCAGCCAAGTAGCAGATGCCTCCAATCGACCTGACGTATCTTGAAGAGCTTTGATACAGTCAGACTCTTTGAAACCAAGTTCTTGGAGACGCTTTACCGACATAGCTATGGGCGAAATCATATGTAGCCATAAATATGGTGTTGACACAAGTCTGAATGTCCCGCCAGATAATCCACGTCAAATAAATATACTTTCTTTATGAAATTTACTTCAGTACATATTGTCTTTTAGAATGTGTTCACATCATCGAAACCTCAGTTATAACTGACATGGGCAAACACCTCTCGAAAGCGACTACCTCTTTTCAAGTATTCCCAGCCAAAGTATATCTAGTTGGAACCTCTTGTAATCGAACACCTCCCACAAACGACAACTAAATGTTACAATTTAATATATTCTGCTGACGAGAGTCAAATGTTTATTTTAAAAAATGCAGCGCAACGTTTAAATAGTCACAAATCGCCATAATAACCTCCTGAGAAAGTTTCGAGAAAGTTGCGACTACGCAGATAAAAAAGTCACAACAATGAACCTTGCAACACTCTGAATAAAATTAATAATCGCGTTTATTATCCAGAAACACAAATTAGCTATACTGTGCACGCCGGAGCAACAACAAATTTTGAAATGATACGACAATATATGTTGTGAAAAAGTTTTACGAGTGTAAGCTCTACAGAAAATCTTATATCATGTTACGCGGAGATTTTGAACGCCACAACATCGGCTCATAACAAAAGTTATGAGAACGTTTTGACGATATGCCATGCGGGCATAGAAGCTGTACCCTGGCAGCTGGTCTTTTTGGAATGTTTTGCTATTGCTGTGTTTGATTAGTTTTCCTTTTTTCTGAGCAAAAAAATTGATGGACAATAAACAGTGTGTCACGCTTACCGTCAAAATCGTGATCAGGGATATCGTCTTCAGAATTTAAGCTAACTTCACTCTTGATAGCTCTGTTCAGTTGCTTGGAGACAGATTCAAGGATACTAAGGTACAATTTGTAGTCATTATAAGACACTCGCATGGTCAGTGGGCTTTGAAGGTTAATCTAAAATAAAAAGTAAAATCATGAAACTGTCACTGAATAGAGCTGTCATGATCAATACCAGTAAAAGCCTCACAGTGGTTTTCCACCTTCAATTGGATAGGTGTCTTGAGCAATGTTTAACAAGGATGAATAAATATTAACTCCCTCAAAGTTGACGGGTTCAAAAACCTTTTCACAGTGCGACTACTGAAACTGGGGCACTTGGAAGATTATCGAATCACAACGGTTTTTGAAAACAAAAGATTCTCAACTTTTTTGCAAATGGGCCAATAACATTCATAAATTTGAGGGCCGTTTCCTGGGAGGTCAGGTAAGTTCAAACGCGTTCAAAGTTTTCAACGGTTGCGTAGTTGAACCTTCAATTTTATTGATCCATTAGCAAATAAACTTGAGAATCTTTTGTTTTCAAAAACCGTTGTGATTGGATAATCTTCTTCCAAGTGCCCCGGTTCGAGTAGTCGCACTGCAATATTCTACGTTCTCCAACTTGCAAAGAATAGAAAAACTGTCCTAAACTAACCTCCAGACTTGGTAACTGTTCCTCAGCAAAATCTAACAGGCCCGCGTTTTTCCTTCCTTTCTGTCGTCTAGCATTATTGAGTTCAACCAGCGCTGAGGTTGGATCAATAATTGACAAGGCAGTGTCTTCTTCACATGAAAGGACACAAGAAAACATCTCTAGGCTTTGAATACTGCAGGAAAGCCACTTCTGACTATGAAGGTGTGGACGCCAGGCCAGTACGGCTGTTAACTGAACGAAGAAAAAGGCCGCAACGAAAAAGGTCACAACAAAAAAAAAATGTCTGGAACGAGAATCTCACAAAGTTCCCACTTTATAAATAGTGTCATACCTTAAGAATAACAGCGTGAGTGTCGACAGTTTTTACATTCTCCAACACAACAAACTCTGTTCCTGAAATATTCACCTTCATCTCAAACGTCTTTTGCGGCTGTGACAAAAAAAATTCAAAGATACATTAAATTAAAATTGAAATACAGACGTACTTTTATTCATATCGCAGTTTCAAAGGTCGTGATGTTTTGTGATTTCCCACAATTCTATTATGGGTGAGTTATCCAAGAGGAATACAGTTTCCTAATTTTCAAAAATCTTCAATTCACAACTTGTTCGACACTAATGACTATGAACAACTGGGCACGAGGTGCGTCCATTGCGGCTCTTCGGGGGCCACAATGTATCAGTATCCATTTAACTGTCAAGTGTTATCCATTGTCTAGTTTCGAATCTGGCTACGAGTCGGTTTATTATGGGATAAACAACACGAGACCCGGATAGTCTAAAAGAGCACAGTGAGGTTATTGGTGTCAATCCGGCCAATATTGAACAAGATACAGCTATTTATAAACTTGAAACTGAATTGATAACGGATGTATGGCTTGCCGGACACATCGTCCGGACGTCCATATATTTCTTAGTAAGTTTTGGAGTTTTTGAATGGCTGTATCTTGTTCAATACAGGCCCGATAAACACCAAACTTGAGAATGTTGCTAATTTAAATGTGCTCTTTCTGACTATATGGGTCCCGTGTTGTTTATTCGATAATAAACCGACTCATACCTAGCCCCTCTCGATTTGAAACTAGACAATGTACATTATCATTTCTATTTTGGAGCCTAGACTGACCAAACAAACAAAACGCCTAGTTATAAGTTACCTACCAGAGGTTGAGCTGGCATCTCACATCTAGTGGCCACTCCTGATGCAGACGGAGGAGGGGGTTCATATTCTTTGAATGAACTGGAATCATCTGAAGTGTCCATTGCAGTCTCCTGCGCTCCAGATGTATCTGCACAAACAAGCAAAAAAGACCGTTTCAATGCACTGAACCATCTTACCGGGCAAAGATTCACGTAGAGGCACTGCTTCTATTCCCCTCCAAAATTGGCAGAAGTGATTGCTTCTGGCCTCTAAGTAAACCATCTGTTTTTCATCTTCAAACGTCGTGTCATCACGTGCGATACGCTCGCCCGTACAGTTTTTAAACTACGGGCGTTTTTAAACTGTACGGGCAGGTTAAAACTTGCAGAAACCTGGCGCCCTTTGTTAGGTACTTAACTGAAAATCAAGCACGCGTGTTGAAAAAACTCCATCTCTCTCTCCCCAAGACTGTGGCACACAACTTGTTTTGCAGGCCACTGCTTTAAGGATTATTTAATTTCTAGCTGACATTATTCTCTGCAGGTTACCATGCCGTACGTATAGCTGTAATAGACGAAATGGACCACAAACCTATCCACCTCAAGATACCAGGCCCCCATATAAGGGAATCAGGATTCCGAAATCCGGGAAATTTTTGCATGTGGAATCCGGAATATTGGGAATTTTTTCACGTGGAATCCGGAATCTTGGAAAATTTTGCATGAGGATTCCGGAATCTTGGAAATTTTCGCTTGTGTAATCCGGAATCATGGGCATTGGAATCCGGAATACAGCTGTAGGAATCCGGAATCCCAGTAACGATTGGAATCCGGAATCCAAGTTCCACGGAAAAAGATGTGGAAAGCAGTACCTGGAATCCGGAACCCACGAAGTTGAATCCAGAATCCAAGACTGTCTTGGATTCCCTCACATGGGGCGATACCAGGCTCATCGTTGAAGTACTTGGGAGGGCAATGAGAACTAAAATAACTCTACGACAAGAAGCACTCACAGAGCTTGAAACAAATCCGGTTCGGCACAAGTAAATAGGGAGCTTAAGCAACGACGACGGCGACGGCAACGACAATGGCAAAAAAAGCAATAGGTTTAGATTGGCCGAACAACAACTTTGCACGCGCATCACGCTTTTTTGTACATTTCTTAGCCGTCGTTGCACGGCTACAACGTGAAAGTGCCTAATTTCACGTTTTGTCGAGGACGGGAACATACGACGACTACTTTCTTTTTCTTTTCCTGAACTTTGATACAGTCCTTTAGGATTCAACTCCAAAAAAGTTTGACAAGAATTGACAAATTGAACGAGATGGAATGAGCGCGATAAAGTTTGAGGAAGCGCGAATTCACTTTTTAAGTGACGTTTTCGTAGCCGTCGCCGTCGTCGTTGCTTAAGCTCTCTAATTTTCTTGCTGGGCAAGTAACTTTTAAAGCTTACTTGCCCAGTAGGTCAGGGCTCTGACAAGACGTCCTCTAACAAAATCATTAACTGAGATGAGCAAAAAGTGAACCCAGACAAGCAAAGTGTGAGAGCTGCTTAAACAAAAGACAAGCTGGAATTCAAGTTTTTTAAGCCCTGCCTCGTCGAAAAGGAATATTCCATACCGTTCTTACTTTATTGCTGTCAAAAGCAAAACTTACATACCTGTGTTGGGCTTGAACATCCGGCACATGATGAAGTTGTATGTGTCTAACAAATAGTCCATGATCAACATAATACGGCTGTGATCAAACAGGAATGTTAACAAGGTTCTTTTTGTTGTATCTCGGTAATGAACTTCAAACTGAAGAGAGTTTTCTTGTTCGCGAGCCGACAAAGAAGACCTTCGTGGTAAAAGAATGTCAGTGAAGATGCACGAGTCAGAATCATCCAGGTCCATTCCTTACAAAACAGGAAAGAAAGAAAAAGGTGCTTAATTCTTAATCCGCGAATATCATATTTTCATTTGTATGGCTTGAATGTCATCGATACCAAAATTGCTTTCAGTCCACCTTGCAACATATTTCAGAGGGCAAAAACCAAAAGTAAATAAGACTGACCCAGAATACAAACAAAATGAAAACACGTCCAACCAACGCTACAACGAAAACTCAAGTGCGTCCAAGACAGTTATCCGTGGCCGCCTTAAACTGTGTCAAAAGATAAATAGCTAAAAATACAACAAGAAAAAACTCTAAAGGCTGGTTATTAACAGCGAGCTCCGCAGTGCTAAAAAAGCGAGTTCTAAGCCACTTTAAGTTCGACAAACGCTTTTAACTAAACACCGTTCACCGTGAACAGTTTCAAGGTAGCTTATAGGGTTGACAAGAAGAAACATTTCTCTTCTTAAAACAACCCGCTTCGCAAGAGATCTGAAAGTCCAAAGATTTCTTATACCGCGGCCTAAGTTAGCCTAGTGCATGTATGCTTTAGAAAGGTGTCCGCCTCATGGTGAAAGAATCAGCACAATTGGTCAGTGAACAGTGGCGGATCCAGGGGAAAGACACGGGGGGGGGGGCGCCCCCCTTATTTTTAGACCAAACTGAGGCAGGAAAACTTTTTAGATGGCCTCCCCCTCCCCTCCTTCTTATCTGAAAGTCTGGATCCGTCCTGGTGATTGCACTGCCTTCTACGCGGTGAGTTTCGAGTTCGATTTCCCTTGGCGCATGCTTTGGAGAGGTGACCGTCTCATGAAGAAAGGCTAGTGCATTTGAATAAGCAGACATTTTAAACCGAAATAGAACATCATCGTGTGTCCAGGGAAATACTTGACCGAAACGGCCAGTAGAGAGGAGTTACCTTTTTGCCTGGTATCTTCAAATATGACCTCTTCAGACACCAGGTCAATCGTCTTTGACCAGTCAGAGAAAGATTCAAACTCGAACTTAGATTTGATGAAGTCTATTCTGGCCAAAGAAGGAAGATGGCTGGGGTCAGGAAAGTCTCCTGGGTGTTCAAATAGTTGAACGGGATGCAATTCCAAACTAACATTCACCAGATCAATTCTCATCCGTAGGCTGGTCCATACCTCTTCTGCCTCTGGAGGCTGAATAACAAAGAGGACTTAGGGTAGAAAAATCATGACTATGGTAAAATAAAGCATGAACAATAAGGGACCTTACTCAACGTTTCCGCCCAACAATTTCAACCTGTCTCTCTTTAAGTCAGCTGCAAAGTCGCGAAGGGGCTACGGTAAAGCTATTCAAATAAAACCAATCCGGCGCTACCGTCTCCCCGGTACAAACTACAATCGGCGACAAAATTGTTGTTGGTTTCTAAAGGTAGCTCGAACAGTGGCACAACATTGCAAGGAGGGAAATCGGGAGGGAAAGCTTTATTTTCTTCTTTTAAAGTCGGTAAAACTTCAGAAAGGCCCTTTAGGGCAAATTGTGTCCGGTTTTCAGTATTTTACAAAATGAAACTTGACACTATTTTGTCGACTTTGAATCGTATCTGTGTACCCGGGGGAGTAAAAGGGCAAATGAATGATCCCCAATTCAGTAGGGCAAAGTTCAATAGACACAGGGCCACTAAGGTTTAATGGTTTTCCCTGTGGTAGCATGCTGCCAACCCCACCTACAGGGTCATACAGAAGCTATACAAAAATTTCCAAATTTCCTGTCAATAATTTTCAAGTCAAAGTGTCCAAAACCACAAAATGTATGATGATATTAGACAAAATAGCATTACAGTTAAAAACAGAACCAATATTTTGGGTGAAAGAAAGATGTTCAAGACGAAAAAGAAAAAGTTCCTGTTACCTTTCCTAATGGATCTTGGATGACAGATGATGGTCTTTCAAACTCTTCAAGAGGTTCTCCAAGGTTCTCTCCCAGCATTCCAAGAATGAAACAGTACTGCGAATAGTCCAACGAGGCACCCACCGAGGACAAACGACCACTGACGTTGATGTCTGGAACTGAAAAGGAAAATAAAAAGCAAAGGTTGGTTGAGTCTACATTCAGTTCATCCCCGGGGTAAGATAGAGCCACCACATCTGCGGTCGTGTCGTTAGTTTGCTCGACTAAAGAGGGGTCAGTAGACCTGCCGATGGGGAAACAAAAGATTACGAAGAGCACAAAAACTGCTCATGATGCATACCTGCTCTACTGAAAGCCCAGTCCAAGTTACGTTCAACTGTTAAATTAAGTCTGCATTTCTCCTTGAACAGCTTTAATCCCTGCTCATAAAAGACACAACAGTTGAAGTAAAGTCAGCAAGAATCTTTCAAGGGACACACCACGGGTGCACTCCAGTGGCGGATCCATATCTTCAGATAAGGGGGGGGGGGGGGGCGGTCATCCAGACCCTGAGATAAGGAGGGGAAGGGCCCCCCAGGCCCCTCCACTGGATCCGCCACTGCACTCTTACTCGGACATTGCCGAAATTTGAACCCTTCTAATGTGGATATCCCTATGAAGCGAACACTATTTGTGCCATCAAAAGCTAACCGCATCGAGGAGTTTAGACATTTTTGTATCTATATTAAAACGTTTTGACAAACCTGGCTTTTGTAAGAGAATTCAGTGGAGGACTGCTGGTTACTGACTGCTATTCTTGTAGCTGTAAACAGATCCATATCCACTAGTTCAACGCGCATACTATCCAGCAAACAGACATGTTGAGGATGGTTAGGTCCTGAAAAAAAAAAACAAAAACAAAAACAAGCAATGAACAAGTTAATACCCTTTAATGCTACAGTCAGAGATGGTTTTGGCCATTCACACCTACTTTGTATAGCGTATTTGCTTAATCAAAGAGCCAACGCCTGCTTTAATGCGATGATAACCGAAGGTTACGGAGTGCAAGCCTACGATTTGTGAGGTCAAAACGCTCTTGCACCAACGCTGTGCTTTTCGTAAGTTTCACGTGATAGAAGGGTAAAACGCGCGTGATCATGGCGGATTTCTACCGGTAAGAGGTCCAAACCCGCGTAATCAGATTGCTTTCTCAGTGGAAGTGCAAACAGATGCTGGCTACATACGTGCCGCACATGCGTTATGTAACCTGGAGATTAGGATTGCAGGTTCTTCTGGTCGCCTGCAATTAAGGACGATTCACGTCTGAATCAGTACCCAAAGACTTACCGGAATCATTTTGATACTGTGGCCTCTGTGCGTTCATGCAGTGACTCAAAGTACCCGGTGAACAATCCCATCGAAAGTCATTGGCCACAGAGAGATTGCCAAGGTCTGCCACCAGCATGTGACAGGACTTAGCTGAGCGAGGAACAAGAATAACTGGATTACCAGCTTTGATGTCTAGTGTAACTCGTGTTCCTCTACCAAACATCCACGAAACCTGTTGTGTTGTAAAGGAAAAGGTGGGGCGGCTTAGTTGGGGAGTGAAAGAGAAACCTACTGCTTATCAATTGGACCAACTACATCTTTTTAGTATCTTTAACAAGTCAAAGAATTAAAGTGGCAAGGCCAGTTTCAAGACGTGGAATTTCTTAAAAAACAATTACACATTCTAGTGGCCTGGTACGGTATAAAGCCTTTCTGTCGAGCGCATGTCATGTTCTTTCTGAAAAAAAAAAAAGAAGACAGGAACTCAAGTTTCGTGCAACACCATTTGACTGGCTGTTTTCTTTAAATTCAGGTGATTTTGCCAACGTTTACGGTCCGTTTTCCAAACTTGAACACTCTGTTACGTATGCAATTTTTGAGTGAGCTAAATTAAAATCATTTTTCATGTGTGGAATGGGATAAAATGTAAGAAAATCATACAAGAATTTGTAAAGCCATGCTTGTTTTATTTGTTGTAGGGAAAAGTTAATCCCCAATTTTTCTTTCCGAGGTACTATTTTTATACACCGGTACTGATTAAAAATTACTTTTATCGTGTATAACTTATCAATCATCATACTACCTCGTTGCCCTCAGAAGCAGCCCTCATTCTACCTAAGACCTCCTGGAGTTGTAGGTAGTGTTGAAAGAACACAACTAGCTCTGTCTGGAATCTCTTGGTGTGTACATACTGCACAGATGACATGCGCAACTTTAGACTCATGTCTTTGTCTCTGAGTAAATCAGGGTCTGGACTGCCGTACTTGAAGAAACTGAAACTCAGGGCTTCGTCTCCGAACGTTTTGAACCTAAAAATGTGGAATGCCAGATAAAAAAAGAAGAATGCAAAATGAGAAATGTTAGATGTGGAAAGCAGGATATGGAATGCGGAATGGGGAATGCGGAATGCAGAATGCGGGATGCTGAATGAGTTTGCAGAAGAAATGGATCAATTTAGGTTTACCCCTCCCCTAAGCCAACATTAACACTTATTTCTCGTTTAGGGCAAAATGTGGATTTAGGGGAGGGGTAGGTAGGCAGTTTCCAGAAATCTGAATTGATCCGAAGAAATGACGAGGATTGCGGTATGTGGAATGTGGAATGTGAAAGAAGCAAATGAGGAATGTGGGATGCGGAACGTGGAATGTGAAATGTGGAGAGCGAAACGTGGGATGTGGAATGTGGAATGCGGAAAACTTCCTAAAAATTATGCGAGATAAAAAGCACAAATATCACCAGCAAAGACTTGACAACGCCGACATACAAACTTACTTTTCCCGGTACAAAGTTCCATGCGGAGACATATCAGTTACTGATACACTAGTGAGTCTCCCTGCTGCAGCTAAGTTACCATCCCGCATGTTTATATCAGTAAAAAGTCCAAACGCCTTCACCTTGGCTATGGGATATCTCTTTTTACTCAGTACCAGGGTTAACGCTGATACTTGGAACTTGACTTCTGTATTTAGGCCTTCATTCTCAGGTTCTTCAACACCTATTAATGAGCAACAAAAGAAACAAAAACTTTGCATTGGAAAAGCATCAGTACCAGGCAATGTTAAAAAACACTCCATCAATAAGGGGTTTTAAGTGAGGGCCTCTCCCCAACCTTAACAAACACCACATTGAAAAGTCGAAATACGTCATGAGCGCCGTGACAATTCTCCCAATAGATGCAGTCGACGAATCTAGGTGAATTGCTAACAGCGGTGTTCCATACGATTCGCTTTACACCAGCATTACAAAACTGAAGACAAGTTGCAATAAGCAGGGAAGGTTTCCTGCGCAACCCTTCACGGCACCAGACCTAAGTAGCGGCTAGGTAGTGTCTAGCACCAGAGGTCCGTTCTCAAAATACTTGAGATTAAAACTCCCGAAACGCAGGCGTCGCAGACGCCGGGCTATTAGGTCAGAAAAAGCCTATGGCACCCATACAGCGTATAGCTAATGATGACGACACCTATAAAAGTCTCTACTATATGATGTCAAACATACGTGAATAGCACTTGCCACAATTCATGAGCAGTGTTTCTATGTACCTTCTATCTCCATTGGAAGTTGCTTTCCATCAAGTGCATTGTCCAATGGATTTGATTGTGAAGATGTGGCACTGGGGCTACTGGGTTGGGAGCTTAGCGGCTGCTGTGGAACTCCAATTCCAAAAAACTCTAACACAATTACCCAGGTCTGGAGATTTAGATTTGCTTCCAGTGAGTTAAAATCCACATCAATCATGCGGTTTACCTTAAGGAACAAATAACATGAAAAAATTACGTCCGTCATGAATCAAACAAGATGTCCACTTACGTAAATTTTATCATGATATCGGGATGAGCAAGAAGCCTTTTTAATCCCCCTCTCCCTTCCCTTAAAAAAACCAGCAAAAGAATCTCACAAGGCCATGCAGTGTGTAGCACTACTTCAATTACTCCACTTTATTTTGTGACTGATGGCCCTTCAAAGTCACTGTCTCGTCTCAGTCGAATGTGAATGTATTTGTTTGTTTCCTATTGTGTTGTTTTAAACCAAATAAACGTGGTCTTGTTTTCTTCATTTTTTTTTTCCACATGCCACCCTTTCTTAAGTTTCATAAAAACAACTGCGAGCTCCCCGTTCCATAAAGCCGCAGTCATTTTGAACACAGTTTATGGTTTGTTAAAAAATGATATATGACGACTGCGACGATCATTTCTTCATTTTCAGTTTATGGTTTCTTGATATACATTAACACATTACCTACCGAATTGTGCTTGGTACTAAATTCGTCGTCTTTCTTTTCAACCAAAAGAACTTTAATGTGTACAAGATTATTTCTCTTCTTTTCTTTAACCACAACTTTTACATCTTCCACGGATGAATCGCTATCAATGGAGGCGTTAACAGAAGGTAGCGATGAAAATTTATGATTCTTCATGAGTGGCCGCAAGGGAGCTAATGAGCGAAACGGGCTTTGATGGTGAGTCGTGGAGAGACAGTGTGGAAGGGAGGACGAGAAATTAGAGTGTAACCCAGCATCTGAAACAACGGGGCAGGATGTGGAGAGGCTGGAGGGATAGGCAGAAAGCGAGCGTTCGCGTAAATGGAATTGACGAGGAGCAGAAGAGGAAATGAGATGACGATAAGGCGAATCGTGTTCTTGAAGTAGATCTTCCACGAGAAGTCCACCAAGAGAAACGTCAATTAGAGTGACTGTGGGTTTGGTGTGCTCATAACTAAGGATAAAGTCATAGAACATGATGTCCACGAAGTCGTGTTCAACTTTGTTGAGTTCTCCACAAAGCTTGATGCTGAAGTGTGGCAATTCAAAATGTGCTCTTACTGGCGTGGGGCCCTCTGTCTCAAGTTCATGATCAAAGCTGAGGTCTTCAGCGGTTTCAACATTTTCTTCTCCAAATGAGACATTTGGAACAAAAGATACCCGTTTCTCCGGCAAAACCTTTTCTGGAATGTAGGCTTCCAGATTTGATGCAGAAGAGCTGTAAGGAAGCAAAAGAAACTTTGGGTTAGGGCAAACTTTCACTAAAAACAAAGGTTAGAAAACCGTATGCGCGGAAACCTTGGCATATCGATGTAATTAAACGTGATGTGACGATATGTTAACTTCACAGTAAAGCACACAATAAAAAAAACTTCAAAGAATGAAAAAGTTGATCGGTTTTCTTTCTTTGTATTCTCTGAGCCTCACTATAACGTTGATTTTAGATCTATCGAATGGACCCTATTGGCGCAACAACTCGCAAGCTGTCCAATCTATTTGAAAATTCATACATGTAATCATCAATTTTATCACGTTACTTACACCCTGCCCACGAAAAACGAAACGCAAAACGCAGCGATCTTATCTGTAATAACTAGACCAGTGTGAAAGCAACGACTGAACGACACAGAATTTTGACGTCACGCGCCCTTTTTTTTTGCCCTTGCAAAATTAGGCTAAACACTTCGTTGACGCGGTCGGTAATCCAAGTCAATTACCAACTTCCCTCCCTTGAGCTCTTCTGTCACATGGTTTCCTCTTTTATGTGTCAAGATAGATTGCCATATTTCATATGCACCGTACAAAACTATTTTGAAATTCACCATCGGCACATCTCACGCAATGCACCTTGTTTGCCTCCCAAAATTTTGCATTATCATTGTCTTCAATTTCTCTTGGGACAACTGCAATGATCAGGAGAAATTAGAAAACTGGTTAAACAAAACTTTGAAGAGGACACACATTATGGGAGTTGTGCAAATGGTGAATTGAACATCCTCAACATAGCTATTTGAAAAAGAGGGAAACACCTCAGATGTAGATGTTAACTATAATACCGAAGCATGGAAAATATATACAAGAAAAGAAACTAGTAAGGTAGCCTTTTTTAATGTCGCGTCACCTTGGAGAAAGTGTGCTTGGAGACTGAGAAGCAGGACTAGCCAGAGATGACGAATGTACCCCAGCGGGGGGAGGGACAGGCACTGTTTCCTTCCCACCACCAATGTTATCAATAGTGTCAAGTAACTGGTGATACGAATGAGTGGAGAGTTCCAGCTGCAGAGGACTGGCCACCTTCCCGGAAATGTGAATGGTGGGTTTTTGTGTGTTCAGTGGCGCACCCAGTGCACCAATTTCTTCAGAACGACGATCTATCATGAGCTCAAAAGCTGTTTTGTGAAGAATATGCGTACTGTGGGATTTTGGTGAATTATGGACGTTTCTGCCCGTAAATGATTCTGGGGAAGAGAATGATGAAGTTCTTGATGAATCTTTAAGGCCTGGTGTCAAACAGTAAAGACTCATCTCTTTAATTTCCACGAACAAGCGATCAATGTCATGCTCCACCGCAGTCAAATGTCCCGTGTCACTTTCTTCCTCGACAACTTCCATCAAGTGCGTGTTTCGAACCGTAATTTTACCTAAATGAGCCACAAGCATTTCCGTGCTCGAAGAAGACTTGGGCACTTGCACAATTGGCGAGTCAACCGTGATACAGCTGTAAACTCGTCGCTTTAGACTTAAAGGAATATTGTCAACAAAGTCGCAACCGTCAAGAATTGCATCGCTATCATTTTCAAACGATAAGCTCTCTTGTCGACTTCCAAGACTCCTCTCCTCTTGTCCACCTGTGGTGACAAAGGATGACGACAAGTAGTCAAGACCTTCCGCCAGCGCTCTCTTTTTACTTACAAGACCCATGGCCACATTGCTAGCAGCTTGACGTAAAGTTTCGCCAAACTGGGCCGCGTATACAGCATAATCACCAGCCGACAATAAAAGCTCGGAAAGAAATCTATGCGTGTGGGTGTATTGGGCAGAAGCAACCCGTACATTTATTTGAATGTTTCTAGCGATTTCAGAAACATCCACGTCACTCTCCATCGGAACATCGACAACAAGTCTGGGGCTTTGTCCACCCTTTGGAGGAATAACGAGGGTAAATGTAAAAGCTCGCTGGTCATTTGGGCCGTCTTGCATGTCTTCTGGTAACGACCATAAAAACGAGGATTCCCTTGTGGTGGTATCCCCTGCGAATAAACTCCCGCACGTACACACAGTGCGATACAATGAGCCCTCTGGAGTAAGGTCTATAATTCTAAAGCCTCCTAAGGAGCCATCAAGACGCTGACATTCTCCTAAAGACGCATTGAGCTGGACTTCGCCAACAGCCACTTCCGCGACTTTACGCACAGATTTCATTCCATTAAGACTGACGCTTCTTATTACCAGAACGTTGATAGATTTAAATGATGCTGTGACTTCGGTTACATCAGATACCTGCTCCTAAAAAACGCAAAGAAGAAAAGTAAGAAAAGTAAGAAAAGATGTTAGGGGGCTACGAGAGGTATGAACTTGGAAAAAATTTTTTTGTGTCCCGCCAAAGGAAAAATCATTTGTGACTAACTTATGCATGTTCCTTGGTATGAAACTCCTTTCGGTTGCTCGCACATAATATCTGCCTCGTATTTAAAACAGACTGATTATTTGGGGGTTGGGGTGGCTTCAGTATCCTCACTCACGACACGTGATGACAATACTAACAGCCAGTGAAATTAACGCAGGGAAATTGGAAAAGATCTTATGATGCAGTATACATGCAATTAGATTTACGTCCCTTGCATTCGCAGGCTTCGCGAGGGTCCCGCGCGCCCTCTTACCATTGACTAGTGGCAAGTCTAATAAATTATGTGCTGGGCCAAAAAGAAGTGAAATAACTTCCATGTAAAAAAAAAGGTAAGTGTTGCCTTGAATGAAAAATAATCTAACAAAATTGGCCTTTATCTCTACACACGATCTATGTACATTCACTTAACTAACATTGTTGTTTGATTGTCTTTTCACTACAGTTACCTCAGCTTGGGTTTGATGGGATTCTATGTCAGGCTGTTCAGGCACTGTCGGTAAGTCTGTCATGTTCGAAACGTTTTCACCAGATGAAAATGAAGTACTAAAAAACTGAACCAAAGCTGCAAGCGTTTCCTGATTTGCTGTGGGGAAATAAAGACGATTGTTAATCGACTGTACCTCCCGGAACATCTTGTTAGAAATACAGTCTCCGCTCTCGATCTTAACAGGTACCTCTATAAGACGGGCACCTGGCTAAAACAGACTACTCCTTTTAGTTGACTCATTTTGACTATTTATAACATGGACACGTATTGCTGGTCCAAAAAGTGTCCCTCTTTGGAGAGTAGACTGTAGTCCACCGCTAATACTTACTGATTTTGTTACAAAAAAGGTTAGGGCTCATCTTGTGGAAAATCAAGAGTCTCAGTCCAGAACTATTGAGTCTCAGTTCAAAAAACAACGAGTCCAAAATTGAAAATGCCTAGGTCTTTATGTAACCAGACAGTTTATCTGAAGACAAACTCCAAAACTCTGTACTACAGTATACTGAAATTAAAATATAGTCCCTATTAGACTCTAAATGCTGATTACTGTCTTTAAATTGAAAATCCTCAAATCTGCAGAAAACACTGTTGACATCGATCATAATTTAATATGTTCAAACGCTGTTGCTTAAAGTATATGCATACCGCCGGTAAACATAAAAAGCCTTTCGGTAGCTGAAAGCGGGCAAAGAGAAAACTTCTTCAAATCAACATGAATTGCATTTCAGATCTTACCGATGACATTAAGGGTGTTGAACTGCAGGTTGACAAGATTCATACCACTTCCGTTAACACTTTTCGTGGAAGGACTGTCGGCATCATAGTGCTGGTAGTCAAACGTGATAAGATCTTCCTCCTCCATAACAGCCGTTGTCTCGCTGGTGAAAGACACATCACTTTCCTGTAGCTTTCTTTTGGATCCCGGTCTGACAAGATCTGCTACCACAGAAAATGCGCTGCTCACTGTTTCCGTGAAGGACTTTTCACCTTCAAAAGACAGAGATGAACGCACATAAATAGGCTGACTGGTAAATGGCTCCCATTAACTCGTCACTAATAACTCATCACTCAAAGATTCAATTTTAAATAAGCTGAACATTCCAATTAAAAATTCAACATGGCCTCAGTTTGAAAGCTTTTTTATTCAAACAACGAAAAAGAAACTCGTTCTCGTACGCTGGAAATGAGCAAAAAGCTTTCAAAAGGTCACAAACATATAGAGGCAACAGGTAACTTACTTTTCGACTGAGAGAGGCTAGCATTGCTTGAAGATGGAACGGGTTGCGGTTTACAAGAAGAAAACAGCAGTTCATACTCAGGCCCAAAATTCTGAATCGCGTCGACAAGATGGACTCCATGGACAGCAAAGGATATTGTGGAATCATATGGTCTCTTCATGTAATTTGCTTTTACTCCTAAGATCTGCAGTTCAGCTATCAGGCAGCCTGTTTAGCAAACACAGGAAGATGCCAGAAATGATTTTAATTAGAATATTTAGCACAAAAAAGAAACCTTGTTCACTTATGCTTAGCTACACAAGCCACAAACAAGTCAAGCTGTCTAGTGCTACATTAACTTAACCAAAGTTCGAACAAGTCAAACACTTATGTAGTTAAACCTTGTTTAAATTCTTTACCTCATAACAGCTGCTTTCCGATTTAAATGATTGCAAATTAAGGGCGAATTACAAAACGTTGAAGTTCACTTGAATCTGTGTCAAATCTTGTGTTCCAATTTTTTTATCCAACCTGAAGTCAATTTAATAAAACTTTTCCAAGCGTCATTTTAAAATGTAGTCATTGTTTTAGAGTCTGAAAACAAAAGTCACACTTGTAAATTAAACTTGTAAAATTTTTATTAAATTGACCACTGGTTTAATTAAATTTGTGTAGTTGGTGAAAGGGGCACAATTCAGCTTCTCAACGACGGTCCTTGAGGTACAACAGTAACACCTCACCCATGCTGTGCACACCAAGAGACACTCTGTCGATAGCGAACTGCACAAGTAGCATTCTAGACTCTTCCATGAGTTCTTTTGTTTTATCCTCTAATGTGATGTCCACAGCGGACTTGCTGATGCTTCTAAAAGGAAGAAAAAAAAAACGATCCATCACCGTATAATTTACAGAGTAACAAAACGTCAGACGATTTGCAAATAAAATTCGGCGAAACCATTTTTTTCTATTTTAAAAAAATTACATAGACAGCGGCAGACAATTCAATCTTCTTCTCTCTAATTCTGAGATTACACAAACAATTGCAAGCAATCACGAAGAAAAAGGATATATTTTTTCTGTCTTCAAAGGAACATAAGGACGGTTGTTCCTTCGTCTCAAAAGGATTTCATTGGCCTTGCATTTACATTTTCTCAGTATTTCTTGAACGCCACAAATATTTTTCTCTATATTTTCTTTCTCAACAGACCAACTTTTTCTGTTGACCTTTTTTTCCATGTCCCAAAAGTCTGTGCTAATGTTAACGAGAAGGAAACTGGGCCGAGTTAACTTTCGCAAAGACTTGAGGATAATGGAAAAATTGGCCAATAGCTGACCGGCGCGTCCCCAGTAACGATCCCAGGAACAACTGCAGGACGAATTTCGGCTATAGTTTCCTTCTCGTTTTTAAAGTAGCGAATAAAAGAAGCGACAACGTCCCGAAGAGTCCCATAGTGCAATTCGGTACAACACCTACCCAGTCTTAACGCGCCACCTCAAAATGGCTTTTAAACAAAGGAAAGAAATACTTCACAATGACAACTTATTACCTGGTGGGTGATTCCTTGAGCATGTCAGGAATGGTAACACTGCTACTGTATAAGCTGTAATACAAGTCATCAATGCTGCTGTCCACTCCTTGAAACATGACCCAACAAATGAAAAGCATTACATCAAACGAACCACGATTGTTATCAGGGAGCGTCCATTACGTTCATTACGTCCCAGACGTAATGAATAGCAACCGCAATTTCGATGTCTCGTTGTGTGGGACAGATGCTTTTCATCAAGGAACACTTCTGTCCCAGACAACGAATCTGAATGCCTTTGTTTTTACTCGCGCTGTGCAAATTAGTGGATAGTCACAGGACTTCGCATCTCGCGAGCACACTTGACATTAATCAAAGCAACACGCCTTTGTCATATGTATTTGTGGACCTGACGGTGCACAACGTTCAATAGAATTCCTTTGATATTAATCTTTCTGACCAATAAAAACGTTGCATTAATTTACCCCGTCAATGGATTGTGCACCGTCAGGGAGCCCCAAACATGAACTGCAGCACTTTTCTTTTTATCTGATAATTGCTGACTTTCATAATAAGTATCCTCCACTCAAAATTATGTTTTAATAGACTAAAAACAATTCTTACTTTCCACACGGGGTAGAGGGGTTGAGCTAGCAACAATCCTTTCTCTTGCCACTGATGGTGCTGGGGTGGAAGGCTTCGGTCTACTCAGCTGTTTGACGCAATTTGTCAAAGCTTGAAGCTAACAAAGGAACAGTGGTAACATTAATGTTCGCTGCAAACCTATTCATCCAGGACTAAATCAAAATGGCTCACTAGACCTGTCAAATAGCACGTATGCATCTACCCTGGGTGCAAGAGGCTTTTCATGCGCGGTTTCCGGTTTCGGATAAGTCCTAAAATATGACCCGCGCGAAAAACATTGGGCTCTGCGACCGCTGGTTTGATTGACAGATTAGAGAAAAGGGCAAGGTCCATATAGCAAGGTAAATCAAGGCGCTCTGCGCCAGAGGTTTTTTTCTCGCTGCTTCGCCGTATACGTGTCTTCGGCCATAGACGTGTCGAAGCTCCTCGTCACACGTAAGAAAAAACCTCTGGTACCCAGCGTAGTACGCATCTAAATTTCAATGAAAAATTGATAACGGCTAATGGCACGTGCGGTGGCAAGGGCAATGTTAATGGTGATGGCAATAGGAAAGGCGACGGCTTTGATGACATTGATGGTTTTGTTAAGAGGCAGTCTCCCTAAAAGCGGTCCACTCGATTTCGCGACAAAAAATACTTTTCCTTTATTTTTTGTCGGTGAAGAGGCTTTAGTAGGTGTATACTAAAATCACTATTTTTGTTTTCAAATTCTTATTCTTAGCTCTGCTACAAGCCAAAAACGAATTGAGTCCGTCTCGGCTTCTCAGAGAGTGTTTCGAAGACTAAAATTGATGGATTTTGAAAAGCGCGTTGCAAACAACCGAATGCCCGCACAAAAAATCTGTTCGATTCAGTTTTTTTAGTTAACCTACGATAGTTCACAGGCTAAATAAAAATATCTTTGATCAAAACATGTTCAAGTCACAGTGGTTCAAAGAATACCTATTTTGCAGGCTTGATCGAAACCTTGAAAGTAAGGAAGATTTGAGGCAACATATCTCAAAAGTTGCGGCCTAAATCTGGTTTAAAAATCATATCAAAGTAAAGTTTTAAGCTTATTTTTTTGGTTTATAGGCTCAGACTTGCGGGTATCTCCTGGGATTGCAACCAACAGTAGATTATAATCTGCCATTTTGCGTATTTGCATAATTACAGGCCGTGTCAGATGTCATGATTGTACAGGTTAAAAGTTCCATGAAATTGCCTCTTTTGACACTTGAATTCGTCTCTGGCCTCTAAAAGAAAGTAATTAAGCTTCTTTAAGTACTTTTGAATCGAAAGAGATATACTAACAGGGATGGTCATGCATGTTACTGATTACCACGATCAACTGGCGGGCGCCATCGTCTTGTAACTACCTGCACTGAACAGTAAACAATGTTTTTTAATAGAATTCTCTAGATCAGAAGTTGATCCAAGCTCTCTAAGTAATGAAACTAATATCACTACCCCGGGATACAAAACATGCACAAGAAAGGCAGCGTAGAATTTTAAGTTCTTTCCGCAATTTCAGAGTGAATTTCACCGCGGTGCATATAAAAGTCCATGAATTATTGTAATAATCAGGCTGTTTAAAAACGTTTGACGCACAACAAAAGCAATTAGTCATTTACCGTTTTACCTGTTCTCGGTAAAAGAGACGCTTACCTTTACTTTAGATTCTTGATGGAAGAAGTCTATCCAGGCAGCTGAAGTTAGGCAGTTTCGTTTCAAAATCAAATCATAGCGTGATAGTGTCACGTAATGTTATGGTCACGTGGCTACGTAACCCGTCGGCGGCCAAAATCTTTGTGATAAACGAAATTTCTGTTTCTCTCCAGAAAAAAAAGCCCTAATTGAATGAGTTTTTCCTCCTTAAATTGCACAAAATGCATATCACACCAAGGAATTTGTATTGGTAATGAATCATTTTCTACGGCATGGTACCACTGGCCTTATTAATCCTCGCCCAGGCATTTTTTTTTTTTTTTTTTTTTTTTTTTATCGCGCGACCCGATGAGGATGGCAGGCAACCTCTCCCTTGGAATCACTTTTTGACTCCCCCCAACTCCCGGTCAATCGAAAGTTCAAATCGATCACACAGCAAAATACGCCTTGCAGGCTATATTGATCCCTACCTTTTAAACGTTTTCAAGAATCACGTTAGTATGCCAACGAGGTGTAAGGGTGGCTTTAGGTGCATTTTTTGAACCCTCTTTTATCCGTTCATTTCAAACCAGTTTCTTGTAATGACTATTTTGGCCTCTTATATGGTACAATTCTAACATTCACGTACAGTATAAAGAATTAGAGAGGTGACCTACCGACCCTTTTGCCTCAACCTGCCAGGTCGCTAATTATAATTGTTGCACATGTGAATTCATTTCTCGGGCTTGGCAAAGCATAATTTTTAGAGCAAAATTTGATTCCTATTTTTCAAGTTTGTTGCTTGAAGAAGTGAAATCGCATGTGCAACAATTGAGATTAGGAACCTGGTGGGGTGGCCTGTGCTACCTGGTCTCTAATCCCTTATGCTGTCAACTTAGAATGTCCCATATAAGAGGCCAAAATAGTTAGTACGACAAAAACGTTTCCAAAGAACGGATGTAATAGTCTTTAAAAATGCACCTACAGGGAGTCTTGTAGTTTCCATGTAGAGTATTTTAATGTGACGTCTTGTTGACATCCGGGTTACGTGATTTTGACGTTCTAAAGGAGAGAGGTCTGGTCGGGGGTTTTTGGTTTTCAGGTATCTCGGCTAGATTTTGTTCAGGTTTACGGAATTTTAGTGCCAAATAAAATAAATAGATAAATGATCTTTGATTACAGGTTGACGGGGGAGTTGCCCAGGAAATTGGTGCAATGGACCTTGCGGCTATCTGCGTCGCTGTCTTACGTTCCGTCCTAGAGTACAATGTTGCGTGGCTTGATATAACGCCCTTCCTGCCCATCTGCCTAGTACAATAGAGCGGGTCCAAATGCGAGCTTTAAGGATAATGTACCTTCGGAAGCTTTACAATTTCCTAGAGTCGTTAGAGTTGAGGACAGGCGCAGTGGGCTCTGTATGAGCATTATAAACAAAGGCAGGACCTTGTCAGAACACATAGCCTGCGTAGCAGGCGCTTGGAAAATAGTGGGTGCAAGAAAGAACGGGCGCGCGAGAGAGACACGCGGAGAAACCCGTTCTTTCTTGCGTTCACTACTTTCAAGGGCCTGCTACGTAGGCTAAGAACACTATAGAAATGGCGTCTCTGGGGGAGCATGCCGCCTTACCCCGCCCGT